TTAAAACTGTATTAGGCAATATGAAACCACAAAAATTAAATTATTGTGGAATCAATATCAAGTTTTTCTTTCTCCAATTTAATCCTAATATGAACTCAACACTTTAGTGCCATCTGGTTGCCATTATCTGAAAAATCTTGATTTCTGTGTGACTCTAATTGAAGAGTACAATGAGATCTACTACCAGACAAGTTAATCTGTCCATGTCTTTTTCAAAGAAAAGAATTTGGCAACTGCAAGTCAATGGAAATGGAAAAACGAACACCTCAAAGCATAGTAGTAAAGACTCATCACTTACACAAGTTTTTAGCACCGACAGATGAGTAAGTTGAAATAGTGTAGGTGTTTGTCAGTAAAGGTGTGTTTTCTGTCCTTCAGACAGTAATACAGTCTCCTAAAAAACCCATAAGCTACACGTATGAAGAGGCTAGTACCTGGATCAGTTACAGCAGTCAAACAAAACTCTTATTACTATCTGCATCAGACTTACCAAAATAGAATTAAAAAAAATAATTTTTAAATGCTGCTTAAGAAAGCTTGTCATCCACATATGATGTATGTCACCATTAAAGTTGTCGTCTGTACCTGCAAACACAAATATTTATTTTTTTGCCGTTTAAGCCCATCTACACCCTGAAGCAGGGAACAGCTGCAGCTCTGTTCCCTTTCTGTGCTAATCCTCAGAGAAGTAACATCCTACAAGATTTAAACAGAAGAAATCTTAGACTTTTTATTTTTTGGTAATATTTCGGTTCACATGTAATATATTAATGGCTTGAGCCTTTAAAGAGAATTAAAAAGTATTTTAATAGAATCACCCTTAACAGGCTTGTTAAAGACAAACTGCTTTTTAAATCAGCTGGCTCAACTACACTTTTGACCTACAGGCAAAAAATGGCAGGAATTAATTTCATTCTCCTCCATAAATATATACGTGCAGCCAGTTGCTAAAGCAGACATCTCAGACAGCAGAGCTGCTAGCACATTCTAGCTGCACAAGACAGATGTCAGCTAAAATAATCAGAGTAAAACTACCTGAATTCCTTTTTTTTTGTTTTGCTTTGTTTGATTTTGGGCTGGTTTTGGTTTGGTTTTTTCTTCATTTAGATGAAGACTTTTCACTTCTCAGGTGTTCTTTTTTCCAAGGACCACTGCAGTTATAACTTCTCTCCAAAGACAGCAACATCACAGGAATTGGTGAAGTGATGGCCATCTTGCAGTCTTCATGTATTCCCAAGAACAATAACTGTTCAAACACACCAACTTCATATAAGGAATATACTGGTCACAGCAGACAGTTCAGATGCCATCCTAATAAAAAGCATCAGGAATTTTTCACGTAAAGCTGAACATTCATTCATACACGTGTACCTCAAGCAGTTATGGAAACAAACATTGTTCCTATACACACATATAAGGGAAACAGTATGGAGAAATACTTGAATGACTGACACACCAGAGCACAAGCCATAGGGAAAGGCCACCCCTCCAAAAAAGATTCCACCTGAGAGTTCCAAGAGGCAGAAAAATATTAGGAAAAAACAAAACTGTGCCATTTCACCTGAGGCAGCTTTAAGGTTTTGCATACTGAAATATTAAATCCTACAATCCAAAGAGCCCAGAGACTCCTGACTAGAAGCCAAACACACAATGGAGAACATAAGCAACTTCAAAACACTTTTGCCTCTCCACTTGCAGTAACCTGCCGTGCCTTTGTCTGGTAACTACTTGCACTTAACCAATTTATGCAAAACGATGAATAAAAGAGCACATTCTGCTTCCAAACAGTATTAATCAGCTAGAAGGTGATAATTCACCTGAATGAAATATTGTCATTACTAATTTTCCAACCTACGTGCATGAGGAAGACTTAAGGCTTCCAGGCTGCTGATCCAGTACTGTGCAAATTTGGAAGCAACTTTGCAATTGCTGGAACACTCCATTGCTAAGAACGAAACAAAAGAGTTTCACCATGAAGAAGGAAGTTATTAATCTTGAGCAAAAATTAGAATAGTTACTTAAAGAGTCCTTCAGTTGGTTTAAAGATTCTGACTCACATCTGAAGGAACGGCTAAACAGGAGAAAACTTTGATTCAAGTTTTATGAGAGAATAAAGATGATTGCCCTAGAGACTCAAAACATATTTTAAATTCTAGGAAATTTCTGTTCTTTCTGTTGTCATTTCTACTATGACTAGAAAACTAAGTATAACCACAGTTTAAGACCAGTTGATGCTGCAAGTGTGCAGATCTCAACTGAGATGGCCACCTCTGCTCCTCAAATACATTATCTCATAGTATGCAGGTTGTCCCGGTGCAGTTTGATCCCAAATTGTCAGTGGACCTCAAGTTCCAGAAGTAATCTGGGAAACATACGTAATGAAGAGAGACATAATAAAAAGGACTCATGTACCCATCAGTATTTGGCTTCCTGAGGATGCAGGTCATGTGAACATTCTACAGGCAAAGAAAACTCTAAATACTGCTTCTCCTTTCCAGTTCATTTATGCTGAGTTCCTGGGTTTCAGTTTAGTCAACTCACAGTTAGCTAGCTGCATGTTGGCAGAAACAGTAGGAACTTCATAGCAAAAAAGCAAAAATTTGCCTCCAACCCAGCCCAACCATGTTTTCTTCAAATCCCGAGGTTTGACCAGTATTGTGTGGGTTTTAAAAATTTTGTGGCAGCAACATTAATAATAAAATGGCACAGTATACTAAAAGGAAATTGTGTCCAAAGGGCACGAAATGAGTCACCAAGATAGCTTCATTAAATAAACGGACAAAGAATATTTTTTTTTCTGGTGATGATAAATTTCTTTAGGTGGCAACATGCTGTCCCACAGGCAGAATTACTTTATGTCTTTGAAAAGGATTCTCGGAGTATTCTAATGATGTTGAAATCTCAAATTGGGAAGAACTGATTTTATCTGGTGAGGTCATGTTTTTCTCTTACATTTAAAAGCACACTAAGGACAGACTATTCTTCTGCAGGGAGCATACTATCTAATGTGACTTGCAACTCCCAATTCTACGATAATTTTTAACTATTCAACTGGATTAGGCGTGGACTTTGGGGGATAGGTTAATATATCTGTTTCAGTGTAATGTCATAACTCTACTTTTCTAATTCAATCCTTTCAGAAGAGCCACTACTGAAATCCTACTCAGTATCTCCATGGTATCTAAATGGTTGTTCTGAGATTAAAAAACTTCAGAAAATAGTTAAAACAATGCCTAACAAACAGACAATAGCAGTGATGTATGTTATGTATTAACAGACAGGCAAGGAACAATTAAGGGACAGGGTTCACAAAGATGACCGAGGCAAAGTCCAAAAAATGCCAAGCCCAACCTGACGAGTAAACAGTGAAACTAACTTGTACCAAAAGCAATTTTTCCATTCTAAAGAGTAGGAACTAATAATTCAAGGTAAGTTATTTATCCATGTTGATGTAAACATTTAAGAAAACAGAAAACTGAATTTCCAGAACTGATCTAATACTCTCTGTTATAATTTCACTCTTTCATATGCCTAATGAGCAATCCTACAGTAAAACAGAAGGTGGCTGAAGATGACAACTGTGCTCTATTTGCGTAGCACAGCACATTGCACATTCCCTTGTAAAAACCACAGGTACTTCTATTATGAGACAGGTGGCTTCAGTATTAAAAAAGCAGATGGTCTTGAGAAAAACTGAAATGTTATAAGAAACCATAATTCACGGAAAATACTGTTTTAACACTCAACTTTGCTGAAAAGGTGGCAGCTCCATTCTGCAGCAGCTGACATTTTCAGAGTTGTATTTTTCAATATGATGCACTGCACAGAAACAGTCCAACTTAAGAGTTAGCACAGTTGCATGGTGGTCAAAGATGGATCATTATACAAGAGTGCTAGATACATATTTTCCTATGTAGTCATCAATGCAAGTGGGTATTTTTTTCTGCTTAGTGCTGTGAAAGATTCTGCTGTCAATATCAGTGAGCAAATAATGAATAAGAACTAAATCAGGATCAAGACTTAATGGATTCTGTACTGAAGGATTTTCCAGACAAAATCAAAATCACTAATCACCAAGCTCTGACTATGAGCCAAGCAAGGGACTAGCTAGATATTCTCAGTTCTACCAGCAGCAATGATGAATTTTTCCTTTTTGTTAGATTTCTTCAGTCACTGAAGGACTAGACTATGTATAATCTGCTGTAGGATGCACTTCTGGCATATGTTGTTTTCTTTCAGAGCCACTTTCCATCAAGCAGTTGAAGACTGACCTGCTAAACATTCAAACCAACTGAGACAAATGGCAAAGATTATGGAATGATATTTCTGTACTAGAGAAATGGAAAAGTTCTGAACTTCAGGAAAACAACAAAACTCTTCAGCCTGTTCTGATCAAACAGTTTACAACGGTATGTTTTCCTAACTGAATTTTGCCCTAAACTTGAAGATTTATATATTTTCTCTCTGTTCTCATCAGAGCAAAGTACAACTTTATGTGTGCTCTCTGCTCATTTCTCTTTAGTTCTACACACACCACAGAATAAACAGCGTGACTTCTCTCAGAGGTATCTGCTAAAATAATTTCAAAATTATTAAAACCGATAAACAATACTATAACTTCTGTCACAAGTTATCCATTTGCACGCTCCAGAAACAGTCTTTAGTCTGGAAAGAAAAATGTTAGGAAAGGATCTGGTTCAATTGTATTAGCAAAAATACAGACGAAATCATTATCAGTTCTTAAAAGTCAAGAAACAGAACCAATTAATAATGATGGTGTGCCACAAGAACTTCAGTTTTGTTATGGAAAACTGAGTAAAGACTGAAAGCCATTTTACACGTACCTGAGAGTAATGTCTCCAAGGTGAAGCTCACCTGATTTCCACAGCAATACACAATGCTGATTTTTTGTTAACTATTAGTTTCCATTTGTCAACAATTCTAAGTCAGAATTCAAAGAGTGCTTAGCAACATTTTGAAAAGAAAGTATGTATGCTATGTAATAGTACATGTACAGAGAAAATGTGTATTTAATACCTTCCATTTAAAAATGCTGCATTCATGGAGCTCAATTTTCTTCTAATAAACATATTCAGGGCATAGCACAAGTTCAGCTATTCTTCTCCTTTAATAAAGAGTTTTTAGACATGTACCACAGACAAAGCTGAGAAGCATCCAGTAAACCAAAACATTAGAATGGCAAACAAAACCATCTGTTAGAACCATGCTCTCCTTTAACAGAATGAACTACCACCACACCAGAACTAGTTGATTTACCAACCTAGATGCAAATCACAATGTAATCACTCAGCAGAGCAACAAATAATAGCAGAGAAGGAAATTCAGGACTTCATTTCCTTCCCTCAGAAAGATCAGGAGAAAAAATTCAATTCACCATAAAAACACCAATTATCTTCACATTTACACATCTTGTCTGGTTACAACATTGTTAATGCAAGGCATTTGCTTTGAAACCTGGGAGGACAAAAGAAAGTTTTCATCAGCAAACCTGATGCTCTGCAGAAGTGATATACCAGCATCTATGAAGAATCTGTACCACTTTTAATAGTGTGGACTGCTATTCCTTTATCCTTTTTTTAGCAAGTTTAACACATTTATTAAAGGAATAGAAGGGTATAACTTCTGGTCTTTGCTGCTTCCTTTAATGATGTTTCTCTATGAGACAGTAAACTTATGAATGGAATGAAATACACTGAAAGGGATCAGCGTTGACTAAAAGACCTAACACCAAAATGAATTTTCTAGGCTGCCCCTTCAGAGAACTCTGTAGTACCTGTTTTCACATTGAGCATTAATGAAAAGTTTTTCATATGTTGCTACCTTGAGTATTACAGAGCCACCCAACAGCATTTATACTCACGTAGTAATGAAAATTTGACATAACTGAGAAACTAGGATCCAAAAAATAATAATTCCTGCTCTCCAGGAACATGAACTTCTAAAGGCCAGCAAGACCTGAGGTCTTAATGGAACTGTCTATGAGAAGAAAAGCAGATGGAAAATCTAGAAGACAGAACACATTCCAGAATATGAGTACAGTACCTCTTCCAGGTAAGGATGGTTCTGAGCACTACCAACACGTCAACAAAGACCACATTTAAAATGTCAAACAAAAACCATACTATATGGTCCACCAAGAACACCGAGTTTATAGTGAAATTTATTGTTCTGCTTCCTAATACAATAAGCTACAAGGTACATACAGTATAAAACGAGAACAGCCACAGAGCAAAGGTGATAAACATTCTGTGATGGTACAGTGGAGGTAACATCTGTCTAACCCTTCCACTTTATCCCACAAAGAGTAGCTAAAACTACTGACCCTTCCCCCCCACCCCTCAAAAAATATTAAAAAGTAAACTGTCTCTCTCACTTAGGAGCAGTGGGATTCAATGAGTTTTTGAGGGCACTGGTTCTCTGCCAGTATCTCAAGAAAATTGCTGAAACTAAAGTAACAAGGAAAAACTGTGAAGGTGGGAGTGACACGACCCATGCAAGATGCTCATGACACCCTGGTTCACTTCTCCTCAGAGCAAATGGCCTGTAAAGAAAGGAAAAGTTTGTTACATCAAGTAAACCAGCAACTAACATCATCAGAATTAAAATAAAGTATGCAAAATCTGAACTACACAGGACTAGGAATACAGATAAACTATTCTTTTAATGAAACCATAAGCTTCCTCTTAATAATGCTGAGGAGACTGATAGCTGACAGTCCTTCTCCCTTTATTGTTAGATGCTGTGCAGAAGGGTACACATTAACATAGGCACAGCTGACACCTGTTACACAAGGTTCCGAAACAAACAGTCTTGTCTGAGAGAACTCTAACAATGATGTGAACTGCAACCTCAACTCTTAAAAAACATCAAGGCTATAAACACACAGGAAGACGGGATACTTACCTTCAAGGCACAAAAATCCACTTAACCACTTTTTCATATATACTTGGTGCGGTTGAGGGCTCTCTCAGCAAGGTGACCACTTTCATCTGTTATCTTCTCCCAGTCTGTTTGTCCAACAACAAAACCGATGGCCCTTTTCCTGTCGGCATCTTTTTTTTCTTCTAGATCTGCCCACCGCACCTATGGAGAATACCTTATCAGCATAACCTCTTAAGAAATCCTGATACAAATCTAGGCTTTCCACTGCAAGTAAGAGCATAAGAATACTAATTTGTATTCATTTTCCTTCACAGGTAAGTATTAATCTGTTTTCCAATAGGTAAAGATGAAAATTGCATCAGTTACATTATTTTTAATTGAATACCCCAGCTGTTCTACAGAGTAGAAAAAAGGTACAGATGATCACCCTTTTCCGTTTCAATAACATAATTCTAAGCATTGAAGCGTAATTACTACAATTATTTCTCTGTTCAAAGCAATGCTTTCTGCAGGAGGAATTATCCAAGATTCATTTAGTGTCTTTATTTTCTGTGCAACCTGTATTTCAATTGCACAATGGAAACATCTAGAAGAGAGCTATGAAACTACAGAAAGATGGTGTTAAAAAGCAACTCGGCAATGAACAAATGAATGAAGGACAGTTTTCTTCTCTATCTTGTGTGATATATTTCTATTTAAATACTTCCACTATTTTTTACACTAAATGAACTTCTTCATACATTTGTTATCTCTCATCTTTACAGTTCCACATCTCCCCTGTAGCTCTTCATGGTAATGCAGATCCCTTGCATTTATCCTGTTCAAACATATACAGTGACACCCACAAACTCAGACCCCGCTGGGAGTGAGAACAACAGTGAGAAAGGAGTGAAAGAGGTGATGACGAAAGGCTGCAGTCACTAAAAACCTCACCTGTAACACACCATTGCAGGACAAGAAAAAACAGTAAGTGAAAGAGCTCTTCCCGGACATACTCATTAGTCCCATTCAGGCCAGTGTGTTACTCAGGGACATAGCCTTATCAACTGTCTGCCAGCACCTCCCTATCCACAGTCTACCTGGATTTCCCCAGACATTCCTACTGATAAGCAATGTCAGCTTTCTTCCACCATCACCTCCTCTGCCAATGCCTTAGGTATCTCCATTTCTCTCAGGCATGCTGTCCAGTACTGTTTGACATTACAGAGCAAAACAATGCCCAAACACTGACAGTTAAATTACTTTTAGTGGCAAAAGCCAGTCTTTCTATTTTGAAGGAAAAAAAAAAAGAAAAGAGTATTACCTCTTTCTATTACCTCTCTTTCATCTTCTGTGATTTTTCCCTTTTTTCACAATAGCATGTGAACATATGGCATTTTGTTTTCAGAACAGAACTACATATAGTTATACACATTATCTCCCAATGTCTACAAGACATAATTGATGTAAAACCTACATAACTGATACTTTCCTGAGACGAATCTTTTTGAATACCAGAACAGTGTATTGTTTCTCTGTCTACTTATAACAAAACTTAACAAAAAATAGCTTAATAAAATCATCATCTTCTCTTGGAATCTCTAGTGTATATCACACTATCTCACCACAAAACAATACAGCATAAAAAAGGACTCTGTGGGTTGCTCTGAAATAAAGTGCATCATCTCCTTTAGCAAGAAATGGGATGATTCCATTTTCAGTTTCTAAGCCATGCCCACGCACAGTTAATCTGTAATTCCTAGGTTTGTTATAATTAATATGTTTACCTCTGAAAAACCCTACTTGCAAGAATAATCTCTTACAGAATCTAATGGAACAGCAAAATGAAAAGTGAGTCAGTGAAACTCCCATATTCATAGATGTTGAATGACTTGATACTAACTCTCTTTCACAGAGACTGTTAAATCATCACATACAGACAGTAAGTCATTTGAAAATTTATTACCCTTTTCTTTCCAGGTTCAGAAGCACGTGTATCATAGTCATCTGGAAGTTGCAAATAATCTTCCATTCTGCTGGCAATTGCTTCCCAGTCACGTTTCCTTTTAGTGCCAGTCCGCAAACCATCCAGCTTGTCTGAGAACAAACACAGAGCCTCAGCGTTAAAGGAGAATTTTTTTCTAATATTTACACACACAAGATGAGAGTGGAAAATTTTTCAAAAGAAAGAGCAGCAGAATTTGTACATCCAGCTTGTCTTGACAGGTGGAATGATGAGACTTGAAATAAATTAGAGAAGACTCAACACAGTTTTCAAGTTTTATTGATCTCTCATGTTGACTGTGTGGCAATAACAGTCTTGTTATGTATGAGGGAGAAAAAGCTTGCTCTTCCAGATGGTCATATTATATGGAGTCTATGCTTGCAGGTACAATATAGCCAACAACAGCTAGGAACCACAGATTCACCTTTCTATATTTGAACACAATACTAAAGCTGTAGCATTTTTCCAAATTTGGGGATTAATACTGTGTCAAACATGGCATACGTGCAGTATCAGGGAACAAGTGACAATCATATAATTGAATGCAAAGACAAGTTTTTGAGATATTGTTTCTGCTAAACAAAAAGATCCTTGGAAACCCTGATCTCCCCCTTTCTTTTTCTCTCCCCATAAGGCAAACTACTTTAAAAATCCTCCAGAACTGGGAAAAAAAAAATCTCAGAATTTCTTCTTTCATGGTGTAAGAGGTCAGTCATGAATATTTGAACAGGGCATTTGTCCAACAGTCATCATTTTCTTTTTTTTCTTACTGAACCGATATAGCATGAGGAGAAACCATTCCTACGTTCTATAATTGTGTTCCTCTTTGGACATTTATTCTCAGTAAAAAAACCCCACCTTCTTGAAATCATGTAGCAAGCTGCTTTTGGACAGGAGATGAAGCATTCATTGTAAGATTACAAATAACAAAAGCATGAAAAGGAAAAACAGCTTTACAAGTCAAAGTAAATTCCATTACTTCTATGTTATGGTATGCTACCATTTTATAAGCCAACAATTCATGTATGTGTAGAAGGAACACCAAGCTTGGCAATTATATTCTGCAAACCATTTCCAGAGATGTCAGAAATATTGTTTCAGAAGTCACCATTGTAATTAAATTCACCCACAAAAGGCCATAGAAATAAACTAAATACAAGACAGCATTATTTTCTGGGTAGCAGAAGACAATGTTCAAAGGTATGCATTTAAAGAAGTTTAGTTCAGAGATGAGTTTTTTGACTTAATATGGGAGAGAAAAGAGTAACAATGGAGATAATGTGATTGTATGTACAATGGCACTGTAGACATGCTAGTATAATTCAAACGCCATAAACTAAGGAAGTTATTTCTCCCTCATACAGCTCTAAGATTTTTAAAGACTCCATCTTTGCCCCATTTCCTGAAACAGATACAGAATTTCTTCTAATAAAACATTTTAACCCCCCTCTGCTTTTTTAAAAAGCCAACATTTAAGAAAAATGTTCAGAATACTTGTATGTGTTACATGGTTCAGTTAAGGTTCTTCTTTTGCTCTAAGTTAAATCTGCCAAATTTGATGCTCAATCTCCACAGAAAGGCGACACTCTCTCTAGAAGACAAAATTGATTTATACAATATTCCTGTGTTACTTCAGCATGTAGTGTACTTGCACTGTTTCTCAGTATTACTTTCGATCAACGCAGATCATTCATAATGTTAAGGGTTTCCAGAAAAAAATTAACATTGAAAAGGAAATCAACAAATGCATTGTGGAGCATTTAGGAATATGAAAAACTGAAAATTGAGGAGCTCTCTGTTGGCATGTACCTGTAGACAGCCATATTCCCGTTGGAAGCCAACATGCTACGATGCAAGCTCACCTCATTACCAATATGAAAGCAAGTTCAGTCTCTCTCTCCCTGCTGCACACAGAACTGAAAACATTGCCAAGAAATATGTAATGCTCAAGCATCAATAGAGGAGTTCAGAAGGCATTCTGAGTATGCAGTTCCCCTGTCCCTTTTTGTTACTGCTACACAGAATTTATTTTAAAACATTCTCTCTCTCCATGTTTGAAGTTGGATTGCTTTTCCAGAGGAGTCTGCTTCCATCCATACTATCATGGTTCAAGGTACATGTATCATGCAGTAGACACTACAGAGATGTCAAGAGCCTATCACAAAGGATTATTTCAGAATATTCTTTTCTGAAAATGAGACAAGGTGTCACTTTGTAACACTGGTGCTTTTGAATATTTATGGCAGATGATTATTTAGTGTTAAACTATTAGATATCATTTTACCATTTCAATTTTTAGTAACGAAATAGCAGCATTTCTGAAAATCCACAGAACTTAAAAACTCACCTTTAGAATTTTAATAATAAAGCTTCTGAAAGTAACTGAGTTAATTAGCTCCTCCAAAAACTGAATGAATCAATCAGCTAAATTTTGCTCTTCTGAGACAAAAGCCACAAAGTTAAGTAAAATGTTATTTGCATTCTAGACCAAATTTTACAATGGTATCAAAGCTTAAGCTATGGCAGAGCTTGTTTCTCCCTTCCTGAAAGTTTGTAGAAATCACCACTAAGACGCACCTTGAAAAGGGGTATTGCACTAAACACTTAGCATATAGTCAAAGTTTAAAAGTGAGAGTCCATTACTTTAAATTTCAATAGAAGAACCCATGTGCAATATGCACCGAGACAGACCAGCGGTTAGACTTCAGAATAAAACTGTGGCTGTACACAACACATAAGACGATGATAAACCACACACATACTCAAGAGGAATGCATCACTCCCGCCAAAATAAATCTGAGCTAAAGCAAGAGCTCTGGGGCATACAGCGATTGTCACAAGTCAGTGTTTGCAGCTAAAGAACTCAAACATTTCAGACCTTTTGTGACATGTATTACAATCAGTAAGATCTTATTGTGTAACAATATCTACTCATAAAGAAAACAAAAAAGCAAAACAAGACTTGGTGTTGTTTTTGGAGTCTGCACTTACACCAGCTTCTGTAAATGTGTGCCCTCTGGGACTAATGCAATAAACCCAATGGGCAGGCCAGCTCCCAGGAAATAACTCAAACTTGGAATAACAGATGCATAGCACAGTTTACATGCCTCTCCAGAAATAATTATAACTGGTCATCTACAGACTCTTATTGCGAATTAATTAGTAAATAGAATAATTCTTACTCACAGACTGCAAATGTTTATAATGCATACCTTGAGCTAAAAGTTGCCTGCCCTGACAGAGCAATTTTCCAAAGAAACCGCATTTATTACATAGGAATGCCTGTTTTATTAAAAATGCATGTTTTGTCAGAATTTACTTTTAATCTATAGTCCTATATATACATATAAAAATGAACACATACTAGAGGGTAGTTATAAAATTGTGAATACAGATTTAATAGAAAGCCATTCTTAGCACCTGTATCTGTGTTTTGCAGCATGCTAACATCCAGCTGTTAATGAAGTTTGACTGTTAAAGGACTACTGCAATAGCCTTGCAAATAACTTACTTCAGCATAAAAGTGACTCTGCTGCCTGCTCCCCATTTTACATTTAAGTGGTCACCATATAAAAATCCTGAATTTTATCTTATGGAGTTTTTATTGCATAAGAAAACACAACACAGTTCTTAGTTTCTATTTGCTAGCAGTATCTTGAAAGCTACTGTAAATTTCTGCTGCAGTCACAATCTCCACATTGTTAGAAACTACACTTAACATCATGTATCAGAGCATTCTTCAACAACACAGGTTTCCAGTACTATGATTTCATGTATAATTGGAGAAAACTCATTATAAACTTAAGAAATAATTTTATATTATTAAAAAAAATTATTGTTTATAACAAAAATTCAGATCAATCCTGATATAATACTGCCTAGCTGCCTAGTTATTTGATATTTCAAAACAATTGAGCAGAAGGCACCTCTGGTTATACTGCAGGTGCCACAACATCAATATATTCCACAAATATTTACATGACTTAAAAGAGAGCACAGCAGCAGAAGAGATGATGTAGCTAAGCATTTAATAGCAAAAGATGAAAGACTGTTTTATGTAAGCCAGACCTTCTAATGCTATTTCTAAGGTGCAATTGTGATTCTGGTCATTGAAAAGTAATGACACACAGGGTTGTACCACACATGCAGGAGCAAACCTCAGAATGTTAAGACATGCTGTATCCCATTCAGGTATTTGTTACTTCTCATAGACATGACAGAAAAGAGCAGTTTTGTGCAGACTGTCTTATAAAATCTTCACTTAGAACCATTATTGTTCGGTTAAAAAAACCCAAAACAACTGATCGTAATGACCAGAAACCCCTTCCCACGTATACTCCTTTCACCATAGCCATGGTGAATGCATTTCTGCCTGAAAGTTGCTTTTGACTTTGACAGAAGCCTAATGTCAGCACTTATGTTTAATGCAATCATCAGCACTATTCAGAACAAAGAGCGCAGCAAAAATAGGGCTCACGTGCTTCTGGAAAGTCCATTTTGCATACTACTAAGAAGAATTCTAGTACTCTTCTGGAACTGAAAAGCATAATTAACTTTTCAACACCTAAGCTGTTGGAAAGATACAGTGTCGCCTAATTATTCAGAACCAACTTCAAAGCATGGCACTACTTTGTCCTTACAGATGTCAGTTTTGGAAAGTGAGAAACATCTCCAATACAGGTAGGTATGAGGCATGTCTCCAAGAATGTAAGAAGTTACTGATGACACTTAGGCTTGAAAAAAGGTATGCAGTATGAACAAGAACACAGTGCAATGTAAGTTGACTCTTTGCTTATATCAAAACTATAAATATGGAAGAGATGAATAAAGAATAAAATACTGCTTTTTAAAAATTTTAAGACAAAGTACTTTCCTTGAACAGATGGAAGAACAATTAATGAGTATATAAACCAGGGATGATTAGAAAGTAGTAACTCTCTTGCCTCTGGCAGAAGATAAATTCTATTTCTGTATAGATGTTTTTGCCATTTCAGACACATGTATGAAATCAACACATTTATTTGTCTTTGGTAGGGAGGCACAGTAAAAACAAAATTTCAGGTTTTGCAAACATCATTAGATATCAACTATAAGAAACAGGAAAAAAAATACCCACCTAGCTTTGCCTCAGAAGTGTCCATCTCCCATTTGCTTTTCGGAATGTAACCCTAAATCATACACAGAAAGAAGCTCGGAGGATTAGAGAGAGACACACATGCATATCACTTTTGAACTGGAAACAGCATTATAATATAGGGAGCAAAAGGTATTTCTTTTTGTAAGGCACAATTCTCGTTATCAGATGAAGGAGACCAATTACTCAGTATTTCAGAACTTCTGCATCCACTTCCCATTCAGTGATTTTAGAAGCCTTTACAAATCATAACAAGAGTGCTGCCCTTTGCAAACAGAGAACTCCAGAATGAGTCTAACAGGCAGCGAAGGTGCTGTGTGCACAGTTACTGTATTGTATCACCCCAGGTGGCAAAGTTATTGCAACACAACTTATCAGATATAAAGAATATTCAAAGTTTTACAAGCACAAATGAAGAAGTTACTGCAAGTTTTTATGAATTCTCAGATTTTCTACACACAAACTTCACTTACTCCTTTTGAAGGGACATACTAAATTCATGTATGAGTGGTTAATTCAAAATTAAACAAAATTTTTTTTTGTTTAAAAGAGAATATCTGCTGAGTCACTAGGATTTAAGTATTATTTTTCATTTTAAAATAATGCTCTTAGCTCAATGATTCTTTTAAAACACTTTTCCCCTATAAATAATGTCAGCATGTGTAATGATTTTTAGCCAGTTTATTCTTTGTAAATCCGCACAATGATATTAAGTTTAGAAAAAAGGTATTTATTTTAGTTATTTTCTTGTTATCTTCTCTTTTTATACTCTTTGACAAGTAAATCCTTACTAAGCAATCCTCATTTCAGCTGTTCAGATTTGGTATAAAAGCACTTATGTTCCTCTGTAATCACACAAAAAGCTCAGTGTAGTGAGTGGAAGGCCTGTGAGAATTCCATTACTTTTACAATGTTTTTTAATAAGGAGGGAAAAGAACTATTCTAGAAGATTTCAAGAAAAAAACAAACAATCTACAAATCAGTTTTATGTCACTGACTTCTTTCCTGCTCTATTTATAGGTCGCCTACATTGTGGTAAACATACACATATTTGTTAATGCTACATGTTACTAAATCAGTGTATTCCAGATTAAATTCCAGTATATTCCAGAGAGCTACACTGCATTTGATTATGCTCAGCATTGCTCTTCCAAAATCCTTGAATGACCTTTTTTCTATCAAGCATATATCAGTGACTTCAGGTTATCAGATCTCTGTATTTTCTTGTTTTTAATCAAATCTGAAATTAATGCAAACCAAAACAGTTTGAGCTGCAATATTTCCTTGTAAGATATAAATAAGCTTCATGTATATATGTATATTTATACTTTTAAACCAAGTTGCACATTAAAATTTGCTCAGAAAGTTTACACCACAGCTAGAAGCCTGCATTAAACGAAGTGACGTGTGATGCACTGGTGAGAACACTAAGTTAAATACATCAATAATTCATACCATCAAGCACAGAAAAGCAGGAATTGTCTGAATGCCATAACCCTATGGGAGTTGATAATAGCAAGAAGAGTGACTTTGATGGTGTGAAATGGCCTATTGTGTGCTGAATCTATACAATATCCCAGTCCTCAGATAGGATAAGCAAAGATTCAGACTTTATCCATTGGTACAAGACAGTTGGATATTTCAAGGATATCTGCCAGATGGCAGGAGCTTCAGACCTCCCTTTTTCCACAGGACTAAATGCAGCAAAATGAATTGCAGAACCCTTACCAACTGCTCTCAAGAAGGCAAGAGATACCAAATACAGCGTAGTGTTCCACCTGTCTGATGTAATTCTCTCAGATCAACTATCTGACTGAATACCAGAGACTACATACAGCAGATAATTCTTTGTTATTTTTCCTGTCTGAATAGAACACATTCTTATACGTAGATTACTTTTAGTTACTTAATAATTTGCACAGTTTCCATACCAAGCTTTCTGTCTCATAAAGAAAAGGCCTATTGTTATATGTGCTGTATATTAGGACACTCCCCCAAACCCATAAACACACATGTACACACACACATTTATGCACAGATGTTTCAAAAGCTAAAGACAACTTTCTCTTTTAGCTATAGCTCATTTCCAAGAAATGAGACAAGCAGCCATATTCTTGTTAACATGGATGCATCTTTAAAATGTTCTAACCACACTTTATGAAGTCTCATACTCTGCGCCAAAGAATAATTTAGTAAAGAGAATGAGTCATGTTGCAAAAAACAGACGTTTATTAAAATCCACTTTTCCTAAGCCTTTTAAAATTCTATATTTCAACTGCTTTCTAAGCTGCCACTCCTGAGGAATAGTAAGTTTCCATCAAGGAAAAGCACTTCGCTTGTCCCAGACACTTTTGGTTACTTCCTGTTTATTGGACTTTAACTGCTTGGTTGTGGGAACCAGGGTTTGAGACATTCAACTCATCGAGCACCGAACAGTTGCAGCTCCAACACATACCAAGGAGTTACAGCAGGAAGCCTTCCATAGCCTTTTAAATACATACCTAAAAAAACCAGCCCTCAGGGCAATTCTATAACCTTCATTTATCCAAGAGACCTAAGCCCTCATCTTGGAAATACCTCCTGACAAACAAAGCCAGAAAACTGTGGCAGAGAAAGCAGTCTTCATACATGTTGTCAAATATTGTGACAGTTGAGTTCTTTAGACATGTGAAAGGAAATAAGATAAATTAATCTTTGTCTATTGTTCCCATCCCTCCACTTAGTGTAATTCTTAGATTATATGGAACACAGCACTATAGTGTACTGCAATTTAAAAAGTCTCTAAGAGGCATTTTGCCATGCTCCACTGATAATGCTGTTTGTGGAATATACTCACATATTCTTACAAATAAATTAGGAAGAAATAACATGATTTATCATTAAAGTTCTCCTAGAAATGTTTAAGGAAAAAACGACTAGAAACATATGTATTAAGATTGCACTGCTAAGAATGGCAATGAGTTGGTGCTTGTAAGCCTGAGATTCTTCCTCAGACACATTAATGAAAAATTTGTTAGAGATGGCTGATGTGTCTCCTACCAGTTCACTTTCTTCCTCCTCTGCTGTGTCCTTCTTGACTTCTTCTTTCTGGTCTTCAATATTTGCATCAAAATCCTCCATCTCCACCTGTTCCAAAGCACAAGTACAGACTTACAAGGCACTGCTTGACTTCTAAGTATTTTCTTTTTAGCAGAGTAAGTAGAAGATTCCAAGTTCAAATAGAAGAGAAAAGAAAGGAGTCATCTTCAAAAGTATGATGTTGCAATATATATGAATATTGTGTCCATTCTGCCTTTCTTCAGAAGCAGGTTCCCTTCTAGCAACGAAGTGACAAACTGTGGAAAAGTAATCATTTATTCTCTTCCTTGACATGCATTCCTTGCGCTACCAGTACCTCTAACAGCAAGATACTTCTCTTGATTCCCACACAATCATATTTCAAAACTCGAAATCTCAGAAAAATATCTTAAACTTGCCATTTACATATCACTGAAATGGCTCTCTCTGCATAGAGCATCTCTATTGAGGCTTTATCTTTTATATATTTTAAAATTGCAGTAAAGAATAATAGTAACCACAGAGATCAGCCTAACAAAATACATGGATGCTTGAAGACATACAGCTAAGCCTGCTCATCTAATGCAATACCTTCTGGGGTCCACAGCTCTAACAGGGTCTCATGCGCATACTGCGGAATACATAAAACTCTCCAAGTATGCATCATTTCTTATACCATTTGTAAAACCTTGTAAACCCAAATCTGCCTTCTCTGAGTCGTTTGCTGTCCTCTTAAAGATTATTATTTTCCAGTACAAAGAATTTGGAGATTCAGAAATAACCTGCTGACACCATGACAAACCGCAAAGACTCTCTGTCTACTTCAGCAGTTCACCAGTTTCTGTGGTCATTGCAAGAGCTGTTCTAACACAGCAACAAGCACCTAAGGTACCTTCACGAAGACGATATGATTAACATATACTATTCCCAGAGCTTCTGACACAACTGCCAAAGAATGCAGCAATACAGAAAGCTGACACACCAAAGATGTATGTCACGGCAAGCTGCAAATGGAATAAAAAGGCAGCATACTTCTACAGCTACCTTTTATTAATTTCTTCGTTTCTCCGCTACGTGTCTGTATTTATCAAAACAAAGACTGAGTTCAAATTTCTTTCCTTATTTTATCCAACTAATTTCTCAAAATATGATCAAAAAAATCCAGTAGTCTGCAAAAAGTGCTGAGTTGCATCTAAGCGAGCATTAAGATTCTCTTTAATCGGTACTCAAGAGTTGCTAAGAGCAAAGTGGCTTTGATTCTTGCTCAAAAAGGCGATAAAAACTTGCTTCAAAAAGGTGATAAAAACTAACAACATACCTTCATGTTTGGGTAACTGATAAGAATAATGGAATACACTTACCTAACACAGTGATTCTGACTTTCTACAGTACCCACTATAACTGCCTTGTTGTGACCATATCTTTGTCTGCTTTGTATTTTCAGTATAGTCACATTGACATAATTTGTAGTTTTAACAAGCACAGAAGTTCCCACCTCTTCGATAGCAGCATCCTGCAATAGAGAACGAATGTCCAGGCGCATCATGTGACGTGGTGCTGCCTCCCAGTGCTCAGACATCTAACAAAACACAAACAAAAATATAACAGATTCATTTGGTTTCTGATCACTAACAAGATGTATCTTTACTTAAGAAAAGCAATTTCAATCAATCCCATGAAATAACTACATGTTCTTCTTATAAAATGTGTAAGCATTACGCAGTCTACAGTTTTCAAACAACAGCAGGCCCAAAAGCACAATGAACTTATAATTAATCCTATGGCTGCAAATGTATACAGTTACCCTGCTGATATCCTTTAGCTTGCGTCCATGAATATTCCTCTTGGAACACGTCTGGTTATCTGCACTCATTTCAGCTAAGTACACCTAGAAAGACAAAGACAATATTAAATACTGTAAATCAATTTTTAGAGCTCTTTTTCTACCTGGTGATACACTCTGCAGTTGTACATTTTAAGAAAGGTAAACCTGTAACTGTACACCACAGCTTTTTTCCTGAATGTGGGAGACACTTTGCATTCAAATGTTTAGAAATATCAGCATACAGCTACCAGCAAGTTCAAATTCTATTTAGGCTCCATTACCTCAAACCCCTTGGTTTTTGCAGCACTCCAAAACTGTTCAAAATGTCGCACTCTATCATTGATAGCGTCAAGGATAATGAAGGGAAAGAAGCCATCATCCAAGGTCTTTTTGAAAGTTTTAAACATGCTGGTACGATAGGTCTCTTCCATATCAGCTTCATATTCATACTCCATCACCTTTATCAAGAATAAAAGCATTTAAGAAAGAGGACGTCTGTAAAAATGCTAATGTTCAACAGCTGAATGTCATGACCACAAAGCACACTAGTATGAGAAAAGTACATTTCAGGTCAGCTTTTAAGAATTTGCCCATACCACCCTAAGTTACATTAACCTGTTTTGAAAAACTGCCCATAGACCTCTGCACTCTTCCCAAGCCACAGACTGAAATTTTGATTGCCTCTGTGTTTTTCCAGAATGCTGTTTCTTTGTCAAGAAAAGCAACTGAATTAAGAGTACCTTCTTTTTAACTTTTTTTCCTGTATCTGGGTCTCTCTCTTCTTTCTCCACTTCAGTGATAAAATAGTCATCCAGGCTGAGCACTCTTGGTGCAGGTCCTCCACACTCTACTTCTTTATCCTGGCAAGAAAGCAAAAAGAAAACATATACTCTTGCTGTAAAAATTCCATTTGCTACACAGGATCTTCAAAACACCTGTGGCCAAAAGCAGTTCCCTGCTCTGTATTCAAAACAAGAAGAGAGCAGTATCCCTCCTGCTTGGTGATAGAGGAGGGGAGTCACATGCCACATGAAGACATGGAACATGAAATAACAACAGACTTGAATTCCAGGCAAATAGAAAACCAACAGCAGAGGAAGCACATGTAAAAGACAAGCAGCACTACACAGTGAGCAGTTGTTTACATACCCTGATGAGTTTTGCTACATGTGTCTTTCCGCTGCCAGGCAACCCTCTCATTATGATCACAATCTGAAACAAAGATCATGTAACAGGATACTGGACTATATTTAAGAGAATCTCTTGCAAAAATTTTCTTCAAGAAAATCATGTGCTGTGGGCTCACACTTTTGCATATGATCAAGCAAAGCCACTACCACACCTCACTGTCTGTTTTACAAACCATGTTGTGAGGAATGGTAGTAGTTCACATAATTCAGAGTTTTTGATGTTAATCATCTCAGCAGCTTAGGTTGCATAAGATATTATAGATCTGGTTCAGTTTTATAGCCTGAATTGTGTTCTTTCTTATATTATATGGTGTACTGCCAAATCTCTGACTCTGTGTAAAGCCAAGTCTTTCCTCTGATACATCAAAAACCCAAGTGAAGATCTTCTAAGAGTCCAAAATACCTTAACATTACACACTAATTTCCTTTTAGCATTCCAAGAAGTTTACATCTCCTGCAGACTCCCAATAGTTATGCTACAACACTAAGCATTTGCAAGGAACCAAGCTAATTTCCAGAACTTCCTCAAATGTACACTTGTTTGCAACATACAACACCCATGACCATTTTGTCTGAATACAGACAAAGCAGAAACCAATTATTGCTTTCAGAATGCATACTCACTCTCTCTGGTCTGCTGTCCCGTCCTGGTGGCTTTAAAATATCATCTACATTTTTAGATTCTGGCTTCCTTTCCATTCTTGGAGCAGGTGGTGGCTGACGGGGTATCGATGGAGCAGAAATAGGAATCCTTTCCTCAGGGTAATTTCTACGATCACCTTCAAATTCCAGTGTTTGGACAGAAGAATTTTCTTAGTTCAGTAAAATAAAAAAATTAAGATGTTCATACACAGCTGAGCTGATTTAAACAGACCTTCATTATTTTAAATTAAATTTACAGATAAGTCCTCAAAATAATTCAAATTTCTGATCTTGAACATATTGCAATCAAAGACAGCTTTTAGCAGAGTATATCACTGTTTCATTCATGATCTCGTCATCCCTGAGAAACAAAAATGACATCACCTAAATAAATTTTCCTGAATTATATATTCTGAACAAATAAATACTGCAAATCAATTAATCTACCAATTAATCTTCACCTCTGCAAATCCATATTTTTCATAATATCCTAGCATGACTTCAAGATTGAGAAACTGTACCTCCAAACATGGAAGGCCCATGATCATATGCTGGGCGATCTGTCTTCCGTTCATATGGTGGTCTTTCAAAACCACCTCGCCTGGAGGATGGATGGTCTTTCTTGTCACGGTAAGACTGAGTCCTTGTAGGTGTAGTAGGAAGAACCCTGCCAAAAGAGTATTTTGTGTATTTTTAGAATTTCCACTATGGATTCCAGAGCGAAACGAACATGCACCTCACAGGCAAAATGGACAGTCTGATGCACAATACACCCTCAACTGCATTGATTCCAATAGCGTTCCAAAATCACATACCTATCATCTCTGGGATGCCTCTCTTTTTCAAATCTCTCTCGTTCATAGTCCACAGAACCACGGTCTCTGTGCAATTCCCGCTCTCTCTTGAAATCCCGATGATCTGTGTTGGAATTACCTTGACGCTCAAAATAAGGCTCACGATCTCTTTCTCTGTTGTAGCGACCTGGATGCTCTGAAGAAAGAAACCCATGGAAATCCAAACTACTAATTTTGAAAAAAAAAATAAAGCAACAACCAAGAGTGCAGGAAAAGTGTATAGAAATACATGATATGTGGGCTAGGATGGACATAATCAGACACTGTATCTCTTTTCCAAACTGCAATAGACTACCATACCATGCAATCCTACTTAAAGCTGCAAAACTGAATTTTTAAAGTAGCTAGGTTATCGACTGCAGTACTCCTCTTGACAATATAACCTGTTATTCCTATGGGCCTCTGAAGAAAATAAAGTGGTTCTGGCTTAAACAAGAGTTACTTAGTTTAAAATATGCCTTTAGTGCCTTACAACTTTTCTTAAGAGCTAACTAACTGAGAGCTAGCCAAGCACTCCCTACCTTTTTGAAATGTTTGCCTCTCCGGTAGAGGTTCTGGACGAAGGGTTACCCTCTCCCCATATGGAATCTGTTCCACTTTACTGGTAGTTATATCTGGTTGAAAATAATCATAAAATAATTAATGTCTTAAAATACCTCTCTTCCATTTCCTTTCCTCTGTCATGAGAAGCAATCAGTCAGTGGCATTAAAAGTGACTGGAACAACTTACCAAAATTTCTACTAATGGATAATGCAAGAAGAGCTACACATAAATAAACAACACTATGGCTTTGAAAGACTGAAGTGGGTTTGTGTGTGTGTGTGTGTAAACCATTTCATCTCTAAGAATGGGACTTCTGCCTTTTAAGGTGAGTTCAGGTAGCATGCAGTGTCAGAAAACTATATACACTAAAATGCTCTGAGAGTTTCAATAACTCATAGAACTACTGTAATATCAAGAATATTAACTGAAAGTCTCACATCAGTAACAATTTTTCTAATAGCTTTTAGTAAAACATCTATTAGTGGAATTGATATGGCTTCAACTCATGCCATGGCACCTCAGAGAGAGAAAAAACACACTTTAAATGACAACCCACAATTTAAGGACTTCTTTATGACATGATTTCACTTTTGTTTAATTCTATTTAAAACCTAGTGTTGAATTTTAGCTTTGATAAGCTCAATACTAAGAACCAGAGCCCTTCACTGTTTGTGTGTTAAATGCCTGCTTAGGGTGCACTCCCTTCAGAAGGAGACTTTGTTTTCCTCCCTGTCCAGAGGGTACCTCACACCCATTAAGCAGTATAAAAATAATGCAAACACCAATCACATTCTGCTTTAAGTTACTAAGTCACACCAAAGAACTGTAACCATGCAAAGTATCTTCTAGTACAGTTATTTCCATACTCATCCACAAAGGGGTTGAGGGAAAGTATCAATATCAATCTAAATATAACACATTGATGTGATCACATCAGTTGGTGTTCATTAGAAGCAGCCATGGCTATACACCATTCAGTTCACATGAAATAGCTCTTTCTATGAGTATAGAGAAAAACATTAAACTCAGGGCTGGAGGTCACAGATTCCTTAAAACTGCACTGCTTAGCATCACATCGCAATGGATGCCGTCTACACGCCAACTGCAGAACAAGCACACTTTGCATGGCACACTCCTTTAGCAAGAAATTAGCAGGACTGATTGGCTCTTTGTTACAGATCAAATACACTGTAATACCCACCTCGCCCGTGGCCATAATCCACAGTTTGCTGAATGACAGGTGCTTTAGGAACTGGTGGAATAACTGGAGAAAGGGACACTGGTACAGATGATGGAACAGAGGTGTGGACAGAAGGTATTTTCACAGGCGAGGAAACAGGTGGAGGCATCATTGACTCCTGTTTACGTAACTCATACTCCATATTTGCACCTTTATCCTCATTTGTGTCCCACAGTCCATGGAAAGAATCCTCATCCCAGCGTTCCTGTTCCACAGCAGAATGTGATGGTTTTAAAGACTGACCATGACTTGGGGTTGTAGTTGGAGTAGAAACTGGAGCATGTGGCCTTGTCATAGGTGTAGTAGGCCTTGCCAGGGGGGCACTTGGTCTTGTCACAGGGGTGGGCTGTCTGAACAACACGGGAGGCTTTATAATAACAGCAGGAGAAGGTTTAATAGCTTGGGCTTCTACTGATGCCTCTGAAGATAGCTGAGAAGAGACCTAGATGCAGAAAGCACTTTTAATGTAGCTCTGTAAAACTAACCTTCTCTCATCCTCTGTTAAGTCAGTTAGTGCAATGGCAATCAGTTATCAAATCATACACATTTTCTAGTACCTCCATCAAGGTGCTACAGGTAGGAGGACTATTTCCAAAAACTGGTGGCCTGATTTAATTTGGCATTTGTTCACTATGTGAAGGTTTAAATACTACTTATTTTCTTCTTCAAAATAACCTCACCAATTTAAGGTCTGGTAGGCCTATCTCAGTTAAAGTGTCTACTGTTTTATTCCCAAAGACTCCTGCTGTCTGCAAAGATTCCTGCTGTCTGTGAGAAGGCTGACAAAGTCTGAAAGTAGGGCAGCTTGGTGAGATGTAGAAGGATTGATAAGGCAAGTTTCTTTGCGGAAGTCACTAGAAAAATTCACAGAGAGCAGAAATATCTGGAAAACCCTTAATGAAATCAACATCAGATGAACAAAGAAATTGAAAGGTCTTGCCCAGCAGAAAAACAAACCAAACAAAACCAAACCCTTCATGAATCAAACATCTTCATGGAACCCTGCATGCCTCAAGTCTTTTCAGCATTACAGCAAATGACAAGTTACAGGCAGCCAGCCTTATTAGCAACACGCAACAAAAATTGCAGAACGGTTGTAGATACAAAGCTGAACTCTGTAAAAACAGCTGAAATTCACAGCAGAAATATTTGAAGGCAGGAACCCTTAGAAAGACAAGAGCTGTTTGAAAACCACTAGGCAGAGGAGTGAAGTAGTCTGAGATACTTCTGCTCAACTTGGATATTTTGTAACTTCCTAAAGGCATCAACATACCTGCAGTTCTTGGTAGCAAATCACTTCCATTATTTTACTTTACAGACACTGCAAACAAGGAAGAGGTCACCTAGGCAAAAAGAAAACTTGCAGTGCCTCATTCACTGCATAACATTTCTCTGGAGGGAGGGACAAACAAAGCTTGCTCTGGCTAAATGTCAGACCCAGAAGACATTATGGCTAAATTTACTGGTATTAGTAACTTTGGAGTTAAGATGTGATGAAGAATAAAGACTCCGCATCAACTCCAATATATATTTAACAAAACTGTTTACTTGTTCTAGAAGGGATTTATAAACCTTAGTTAGCATGACTGCAAGAAGTTCAGTTGATTTCTGACTGGATATGAATTATCAAAAAACCAGGCATCTTAGAAGAGTTCCCAGAATTAAACAGGAGATGAGGCAGCAAAGAAGTAACTTGCATCACAACAGGAGATGAACTCATGGAGGTACACAAACATGAGCTTCCGTGCACTTTATATTATAGAAGGTCATGAGAGTTCCCAATAAAGACAGCAAATAGAATGCTAATGCCCATGTTACGTTGAAATATCTCGGTTTCTGATTGACTTATCCTCAAAATTCTCTAACTTCAAAGAGAAGAGAGCTGTTGAAGTAGGAAAAGTACTATAAATTGTCAGAACTTAGGCAAAGAACAGCAGAGTCTTTTTGTGAGCCTTATATCCCTGTTTTGGAAGAGCTCACCTGCTTTTGCACATCACCCCACAGAATCTAGACTGTTGAACCTCACGTGCTACTGTCCCCGATAGGTCATGCTCAGAAGACATAGTGGACTGACTGAGTAGAAAAGGCTCTGGAAAATTTAAAGAAACTAAGAAGTTGCTTTGCCTCAACAGAAGACTGATGAGGTTGTAAGGGTTGCTGGGGAGGCATTTCACAAGGAATTTTAACCATCGGTGTGTAGAACTGGTTGGACATACACATTAATTGTAATAACTACCAGCGTGCTATTAACATAAGACAAATATACCTGAAAGGCACCCGGCCTTGTGCTTGTGTTCTGTGATCTTGGAGGGTCCTGTGTGGAAATGTCAGGTTTATACTCCTTCAACTTCTGTAGCTGTTCTTTTTGCTCTCTGCACATGCATCATAAGAAAATGTTATCAGTCTATAGGTTAAATAAAAATAAGAAATTAATGCTCAGTAGTGAAAACACATTACACTAGAATCAGGAGCCAAGTCCAAAGAAGAAAAGGACACAGTAGGCTTAACATGGGCAGTACTGTGATTCAAAAATCCCTGTTTCACATCCACCTAACCATGGAGGTATTTAGTGTATTAGCTGCATGCTTTTTGATCACAGGTTTCCTGAGAAATGTAGTTATGCTTTTGTGCTTGACCAGAACCACTCCACTTGGACAGTAAAGAGTAAAGCTGGATTATTAGCTTCTGCCAATACCTTCTGGAAACAAGAAACCCCTTGGAAATGCATGCATAAATGCTCTCAGTTACTTGGCCTGGTTCACATGCTAACAGGATTGAGTCTGCCAAAGCACAAGAGATTCCATTATTAAAAACCCAGACAGTGATTCCGACTTTTGTTTCCTTGGTTTATATATCAAAATGCTATTTAATATACAACAATACATAATCTACAGAGCAGAGACTTAAGGTCAGACACGAGTACTACAACCACTAGATTACAAAGTTCTATTCCTTTCAGGTTTTGTTAGCATTTTTAACCTAGGCTTTTTAATTGCTAATAACTCGGCGTATTGAAGTAGTTCCTAAAGAACAACTAAGAGTGGGATCCCTCTGTAGGAGAAACAACAGAGATCACCCAGAATAGTAATGCATCTGTTCGGTGTCCAGCAGAAGGGGAACTTGGCTCACAAAAAAGGATCCCCAGTGCTGTATTAGCACAAAAAGTAAACCAAGCACTACACTAGATCACTAATACAGAACAGCATGCAGCTGAGAGTATGCTGTTCTACACACAATAAAAGCAAAGCCAGATAAAGGCTTTACTTCTGGAATGAAGGCAGTTATGCACCACACTTCTGGTACAACTCTTGGCTCGAAAAAAAGTAATTAATAAGCAGTCTCCTTAAAGTTGTTCCCACTATTCAGACTGGGGTCACCTGCCTATAAGAACCTAATAAGAAGTACCACTATAACTAGTTTTAAGATTACCCTCGTATTCAACTGAAAATCAGTATCATGTTTATGTTTCCCCTTTTTACTGGCTTAGAAAGATATGCATGTAACAACTTTCTTGCATAAAATAAGTTTTAGTTCCTATGTTTAAAACATTTCAGTCCTAATAAACTATCTACTCTGGTAGTGATTCCCAGACTACAGTCCTTAGCTTAAGTCCACTAGCTTGCAGCTAATCACATTAAACAACAAAACATGTGCCCAGCAACTGAAGCAATAGGGAAGTCAGGAAGCTGAAAATAATCTGTTACTCCAAACTTTTGGCAAATATTACTTTATAACACAGATTTCACAGTTACTAACACTTGTTGAATTAATTTAATTGCAGTGAATGATTAAATTATTCACAATAAAAGTTCTTCCTTTTTAAAAATAATTTCTCTTGTATTTTGGCATGCTATTAAGACCTTCCATATGGGACAGATGCTTAGCAATCTTACAAGTCTGAAAACAAAACAGCCTGAACAAAAGTGCAAAATGTCTCTACCATGAAATGGTTTGGGTTGGAAACGATCTTGAAGATGATCTAGTTCCAACTTCCCTGCTATGGGCAAGGACACCTTTCACTAGACCAGGTTGCTCAAAGCCCCATCCAACCTGGTTTCTTCTATTACTGATTTTGTAATAAACATCAATTAAAGCCTTAGAGAGTCTAGTAACTGCTTTCTAAAAATGTGGTCTTGATGAACTCTCACATTCATATCCTCCTAATAGTTATTACTGCTTTTCTGCTGATCCTCAGAACTAAGATCAACCTAACTTGACAAAATTATTCACTGACAATACTGGATTTCAAACGAGAGAGCACTGTAAAAATAAAAAAACCCCACACATATGCTTTAATTAAAAAGCAAGCAGTATCCAAAAAATTAAATAGGTTTTAGGAATCACATTAATGTAGGTGTTGACAGGTAAGTATTAAAAAGTAATTATTATTGAGTTTATCTGACACTAACAAAAAGATTGAAAAGAAATTATCGACAAGCTAATTTGAGGATAACAAAAACATTGGTCAGGTGATGGGATAGATCTCTTCCTGGAAATTAACAAACAGGGAATGCCACATTCATGGGGAAAGGGACAACCATCTATGTGAGAAGAAAAATCCGTCTACAAAAGTTGTGATGGAGGTACTCCAAATAACTTGTTACACATGAGCTCCTACTATCATGCTGTGGATGAAAGAAATGAAGCCATTACTGTGTCAATTTGAATGAATCCCACTGAATGGGGATTCCCATTCAAAGTCACAGAACCAGGCAACTCACCGAAGCATTTTGAGCTCCTGGGCAGCCTTCAGAATTATCTCATGCTGTCTTTGGCTAAGGACCATCACTCCTCCCAAGGACTGGTCAGAGTCCAGGTTTGAATCTGCTCCCAGCATATCACAGGAATGTGAAGGTGGAGGAAGGGATGAATCTGAGTGGTCATCCAGAGACCGCAGTCTCTCTCCATCATCTGGATACCACCTATCCGACAACCGTTCCCTCTCCCAATCAGTCCTTTCAGGAAGGTAGTCTTGCTTTTCTCGCCATGTGTCGTATCTCTCTGGATACTCTCGAATCCTAAGCTCCCCCCTGTCTCGGAGATCTCTGTCATAATGATCTCTGTTCCTATCCTCCCTCCACCTATCTTCACGATACCTGTCCAGAGGTGGAAGAGGTGGTAATGGTGGTAGTGGAGGGATATCCAGGTCACAATTACCCATTTCTCTGTCATGCATAGCTCTCATGTCCCAGTCTCTATCCCATTCTCTGTCTAAATCTTGATCATAAATATCTGAGGATCTTCCAGTTCTATCTAGATCTCTCTCTAGTTCCCTTTCTCTTGGCCTTTTCCAGTCATCCCACCATGAATCTCGTCTGTCATGATCAGATGATAAAGGAGGTAGTGGTGGCAGAGGAGACAATGGAGGCAGTGAATGGTGGGATTGCAACCTGTCATCTCTGTCATATGCATCTACAGCATCATCCTGATAATCAGAGTTGTGATCTCTCCAGTATTGTTCTCTTTCCCAGTCATCCAATTGCTCATGCTCCAAAGAAGGGTCATCTTGACTATCTAAAGGAAATTCTTCTTGCATTCTATCGTCTTCATGACCCCAAGAACCCCTGAATGTTTCATCTCGATGGTATGGAGGCAATTCATCAGGGTCATCTCCTAGGTGAAGGGGTTTACCCATATTGCCTGTTTCAGGTCTTCCTGCTTCCCTCTCATGGCTACCTCCCCTCCTGATAGGACACCTCTCACGGCTACCTGCCCGCCTGCCCAGGCCCCTCTCACGGCTACCTGCTCGCCTCATGGGGACTCTCTCCCGGCTACCTGCACGCCTGACAGGGACCCTTTCCCGGCTACTTGCCCCCCGCATGGGCTCTCTTTCCCGGCTACACGCCCGCCTGACTGGGCCTCTCTCCCGGCTTCCTGCCCGTCCCCTGTCCCAGCTGCCTGTCCGTCCAGCTAGTTCTCTGTCTCGGTTAGAGAATACCCTCTCATGACTATCTGACCGTCCACCCGGGCCCCTCTCTCGGCTGCCTGACCTTCCATCTGGCATCCTCTCTCGGCTGCCTGACTGTCCATCTGGCATCCTCTCCCTGCTGTCTGCTCTCCTGAACATTCCCCTGCCACGGATGGATGCCTGCCTAGCCTGCCCTCTGCCTCTGTATACATATCCTCTGCCACAGCCATCGTCCATCCTGCCCATTCCCCAACCACTGTCCATCCTTCCCATTCCCCGGCCACCATCCATCCTTCCCATGCCCCTGCCACGGCCCATTCCCCAGCCACGGCCATCCCCCTGCCCTCTGCCACGGCCCCTTCCTCTGCTTACTGGTCCCTTGCCTCTATCTTCATGCATAAACGGCCCTTTCCCTCTGCTTTCTGGTCCAGGTAAGCCCTGGGTGCTATCTGAAGCAGTCAACTGGCCATCTGGTGAATCCAAATCCTCATTTCCTGTTACAGGTGTTACAGTATTCTGGTTCTGAGCAGGTGAAGTAGGTGCCTTTGACTCTTCTACTTGCTGGTTAGGATCATGTGAACTCCATGTCCACTTTTTAGGAGGGTCTGAAATAGTTTCTTTGACTTCAGGTTTGGATGGTTCCTGTTGAGTGTCTGTCAGGTCCTCATTTGGCTCAATGGGACCTGCAGTCTGTGTATCGGGAGTAGACTGTGTTCTGCTTACAGTCTGCTGATCACCAGTTGTGTCTGTAAAAGGTTCTTTGTTTTCTGACTCTGACTCCGTCTGTGCCTGCTGCTGCTGCTGTCCCAAGTGAGGCCTGGGCCCCATCCACCGTGGGCCACTAGGTCGGGAACCATGTCCATGTGATGCATTTGTCGAAGTATAAAATTGTCCTGCTGGTCCTCGCGGGATAGACCCCCATCTACTTGAAGACTGTCCATCTGTATTCTGCCTGTCAAAACGTGACCTGTATCCTTCTGAGCGCTGAGAGTCAAAACGAGGTCCTCTCTGTCTTGAGCCTTCAAACTTGTCATATCCTCTTCCTCGGCATCCATCAAATCTATAGATGACACAATAGCAATTTTATTCAAATGAACATGTCATATTAAAATTCTATAGATTCATTTTACACAAAGTCCAAACATGTCCAAAGTCTAGTTGTTTGGATGTTTGGGATTCATATTCGTACATCACTGGATGGGTCAGGAAGGCCAAAGCATGGTTGGAGCTGAACTTTGCAAGGGATGCAAAGAGTTACACGAAGGGCTTCTATAGGTATGTCAGCCAGAAAAGAAAGGTCAAAGAAAGTGGACCCCTTGGACAAACACAACTGGTAAACTAGTAACAATGGATGAGGAGAAAGCTGAAGTACTCAACAACTTTTTTTGCCTCAGATTTCACCAGCAACCCTATAACTCTTGAGCGGATGGACTGCAAGACGGACTAGGGGAGCAAAGTCACTCCCATTATAAGAGAAGATCAGGTTCATGATGACCTGAGGAACGTGAATACATGTAAGTCTATGGGACCTGATGAGACACATCTCAGAAGCCAGAGGGAATTGACTTACTGTAGTTGCCAAGTCACTCTCCATGATATTTGAAAAATCGTGGCAGTCAGGTAAAGTCCCTGGTGACTGGGAAAACATTGCATCCATTTTTAAAAAGAGTAGAAAGAAGACCCTGAGAACTACTGACCTGTCAGTCTCACCTCTGTGCCTGGGAAGATCCTCCTAGAAGCTATGCTAAGGCACACAGAGGACAGGGAGATCATTGGAGACAGCCAGCACAGCTTCACCAAGGGCAAGTCCTGCCTGACCAACCCAGTGGCCTTCTATGATGACCGGGGGATAAAGGAAGAGCTGTGGATGTCATCTATCTGGACTTCTTTAAGGCCTTTGACATGGACCCCTCCACGATATCCTTCTGTCTAAATTGGAGAGATATGGATTTGAGGGGTGGGACTGTTCAGTAGATGAGGAATAGGCTGGATGGTCACATCTACAGTATAGCTGTCAATGGTTTAATGTCCAGATGGAGATAAGGGAAAGTGGTGTCCCTCAAGAGGTCTGTACTGAGACCAGTACCGTTTAATATCTTCATCATTGACACAGACAGTGGCATTGAGTTGACATCCAGCAAATCTGGAGATGAAACCAAGCTAAGTGGTGCAGGTGACATGCCTGAGGGACAGAATGTCACCCAGAGGGACCTGGACAAGTCTGAGAAGTGGGCCAATGGTAATCTCACATGGCCATGTTCAAGTCCCTGCACCTGGGTCAGGGCAGCCCCTGGTATCAATGCAGACTGGGTGATGAAGGGATTGAGAGCAGCCCTGCTGAAAAGGACTTGAGAATGCTGGTGGATGAAAAGTTGGAAGTGAACAGAAAATGTGTTCTCTCAGCCTAGAAAGCCAACCACATCCTGTGCCTATCACAGCACATCACTGAGCTCAAAACCAATGCACATACAGGACATGCACTAGCAAGTAATGAAAACAGTCTGTTCAGAACTGTACATTCAAGAAATCCCCATGACCAGAAACAACACTTTTTAAAAACCCTCAGGAGGTACAAAATTATTAATCTATAAAAAATTAATTTATACTGCTAGCAATTCACAAATTATTATTCATGAGTGATCACTTATTCATGAGTTCACTTCAAAGAGAAGGGAAATAATGATGAAGATATTATTGTAAAGTCTAGCAGAGTATGCAAGGATAGAAATGATTGAACAGAACACCACTGTTCTTTGATTCAGGAGGCATCCCATCAACCCATCTTGAACTAATGATCAGACAGAACAGATGTTGTTTTTGCAATCTGATATCACGTCAAGTATTAAAGAAAACCATTCCAAAACCATATAGCAGGTAAAAAAAAAATCACATAAAAGACACACAGAACACTATATTTTAGAATAGCTTTACATTAAAGCCGTAGGCCATCCATCTGACAAAATGAAAATTTACATTTTAACAAAACTGTATCTTACCAAAAGATAAAGACAGCACCTTTAAACCCAAGATCATCACAATATAATGCAAAAGAAAAAGTGACAAAGAATCCTGATGCTAAGATCCTAAGGCTCAAATCTTCATTTTTCCTTCTCTCTCTTGCTTATAATTGTCTGAAGGCTAAGTAATGCTACATATGTAGAAAACCACTGATTTGTACCTAAGACAAGCACTGCCTCCTTATCAAACAACCATTTTGAAAAGTGCACTGAATAGGACACTAACATAGCTGCAAAACACACCAGAAGTTCAAGTACTGGTGAACAGCTTTGAATTTTCATTTCTTTCTGCAATAAGTGTTGGATTACAAACAAAGAGTACTTTTTATCGTTTCTAAAAATAAGTAGCATCTAAATTGTCAGTAATTTGCTATGTTCATAAATTCAACTGAATACATAACTGAATCCCTTTCACAACATCGACATTAAAGTGCTACCATATATAGCAACACCTTAAAAACAATCCTTCGATGTTTTTTGCTCCAGATTTTCCTAAACTGTGTTCCAAGTACCACAGATAAAATGATGGGAATATAGATCACTTTTCATGTAGGATCACTCTTTCAAGTGTGAGTTATCATCTTCAAACTAAGGACAGCAAAGACATATCCAATATTTAAAACAGTTTTCCTATTTTCAAAAAAGGAGTACTGTGTTTCTGGTAATTAAAAGGGTGCAGCATCCTCAAGCACTTTACCAGAAAAAAAGTGCAATGTACTCTAGATAATACTCAGGTGAAAGACATCTATATATCCTTGCTTTAAAAAGGTAAATACAGAGAACATGGTGTACATATATTAAAAACAAAACTTCCACCAAATAAATACACACACTTCACACAACCTCAGGAAAATTTGAGAATAGGATATATGTTTCATTTCTTAATACATCACTGAAAGTCTTGTAGCCTGGAACAAGTATAAATCAACAAAAACATCCTTACCTAGGGCCTCTGGGGCCTTCAAAACGTGCTGATCTAGGAGGATCTGGAAGCAATCCACCTGACCTCACTGGTTTATCCTGCACAATAGATGTGTGTGTTGAAGACACTGCAGAAGTGCCTTTCAGTTCCCCACATCCTTGCTCAGATGAAACAGCTTGTTTACTAAGATGAACTTGAGACTTTCCGTGGTCTGATGAGCTAAAGGATGAACTTGCTTGAGAATGATAAGGTGAGTAGACAGTTGAACTAGCTATTTTTGATGCATAGGTACCAGGGGTGGGAAGCAGAGCTGGCCTTGGTGTCTCAGAAGATTGACTGCTTTGAGAACTGGATCCTGAAGGGACAGAGGAATTGGACAACTGAGAAACAGAAGAGAGAGGTGGGGGAACCAGCGGAGGTGTAGTTGAAGGTAAAGTTGGAGGCATAATAGGAATGCCACTTTGACCAGTTTGAGAATATGGAATAAATGGAGGTGGCAGGGAAACATTTGCAGGATACTGATTCTTCAGATTTTGGAGTGAGGTCACTTTCTCCTGCAGGTGGGACTGAGTGACCTTCATCTGTTCATCCCACGCTTTCCACTGTTTCTCATACTCCTGAAGCTGATCTTTGTGAGGGTAGGTTTGAAGCTGATGCTGCCACTGTTGGTTCATTGATCGTTCCCAATCTTTATGAAGCTGCTGGAATTGTTTTTGCTGTGCCTCATAATGCCGCAGTTGCATGTCCACTGACATTGTCTGCAATGAGAACACAAGAATAGCTTCATAATACCATCTTAGTTACTTTCAGAGCCACATATTTCAGTATCACTTGTAATATCACAATTTCAGACTTGAGCAGAAGCTTGAGGAAGAACTACACTGAAACAAAAGCAAACACCAACTGTGATGCCTAAAGTCATTGTGACAATTTAAACATTTTATGACTAGAGGACATCTGTGTATAAGAGATTTTAACAGGACAGCTGAAAAAAGCAATAAGTTGCATTATTACTGAATTCTAACAATGGCTAAAGCCCAGATTAATCTTCACATGTATACACGGTATGTGGTTATTTCTCAAGGTTTCAGCTTCTGCTATTAACCTGCTTAGAGCTGCCTCAGCTGTCAGCAATTATTTTTCTCTAAGCCTTTGCCAGATCTTCTTATTTGCACAGTGAAGCTTCTTTCAAAGAGGTCTGTCTTTCATTATGTGTAGATAACCTAATATTCATGGTTTGATCTTGTCTGAGATTTTTAAAGTTTACCTGAACAGATTTTTTTTTAAAGTAGACAGCCCAAACTACAAAGAAATACATAATGTACAAACTCCACCAACCCAGCAAAAGCTGACTCAACTCTCTAATACAGTAATCAACTTCTACTTAAAAGCTTAAAGGTTGCAACACTAGTATAATCATCCAAATTTTTTAAGACATTTTATTTTATTTCACTGATTATTTGAGTAAAAATAATGTGAGATAGTGATTTTCTTAATTCTTTTACTACATATTTTTGGCATCTATATTTATCATTGTACATATTTATTTTTGTACTAGTCGATGTTGTAAAAAAGAGCAGCTACCAAACTACTCTTGCAATCATCTGTTTACCTGACCTTTCTGAATTGTTTCTCCGGCAGTAAAACGTTCAAAGCTAAGTAAATTCAATATTGTGTTTAGCTTTCCTCTTTTATCACCCAGGTATGTCCGAAAAATTTTATGACAAGTGTGAAGTCTTGTACTTCTCATCCTACTGAAGCTTCATCACCATTAATCAATTCTTTTTTCCTTTTGAAGTTGAGTGACATTAGGAAAAGGGGATATAAACAACTGCCCAAGCAGAAAAAGTAGCTAGACAAATGAGTCAAGCATCACAAATTATTCAACTATTTATTTTTCAGCAGACCACGAGTGTTAGGTCACCCAGGAAGTATATCCCGGGTGATATGTCCCTAGTGTCTCACCTCTAAGTGTGGAGGCTGCTGCATGACCTGTTGATACTGCTGTACTATCTGCTGCAGCTGAGCATGCTTCTGCATTATTCTCTGATACTGAAATCCAACCCGGTGATGGGGGTGCTGCTGCCACTGAGCTGCTGCTGCTTGCAATTGCTGCAATCTCAAATCTTCCTCAGGGTCATCAGGAGGTTCAATATTGAGCTAGAGAAAAAGGCAGATACTATAAATAAGAGAAAGTTGCTTCTGTCAGAAGAAAAACACGCTTGGTCCCTACATAGTTTACAGGAACTTTAACGCTGTTCCTTATTTTATTACTCTGTATTTCAGTGTTCTGGCCACCCAAAACAGCTGATTTTTTTTTCAGCTTCCGGAAGACTGATTTTTATTTCATCTTTTCCTAATGTGAACAGTCTAATCTAAAGGTTAGGCTGAGACAATTAAGTTATTCATACATAAAGAAACTACCTAAAGGAAAGAGATTAATGAAAATCTGTTGCTCACAGCAAATGTAATGAGAAAACAGTGGTTTTTCATGATGAGGTAAAGTAACTCTGAGCGCATTATTTTTCTCCACTTTGTAGGAACCCACATACTGTAAGTTAAAGTGGAGCACATATGGCAGGGTAATTTAGTACCCTACAGTAATTTGTTCAAATATCAATCATGACCTTCACCCATTGTACAGTAACTTTTATTAAGCATGCTGACAAAAATACTCTGTGCAAAATTCTTGGCTTTCAGGCAAACTATTAACACGCAGAAAGAAGGGGAACCAAAACTCACAAACTACTAGAGAAGAATTAAGAAATACTGTCTTAAACATAGCATCTACTCAGCAGTAAATCAGGTACTCATCTACTGAGTACCTGATTTTGTACTTAGGTATCACAAAGTGTTTCTCATAGACAAAAATGACAATGCTGGGGAAGGTGCGAGGGACTCAAGCTCAGACTTGCTTGCTGCATGTATGGGTGATTATATAAGTCTATATACAAGGAGTACATTTTTATTTTTTAATTGGTAGAGTGTTACCAATTTTTTTTAAGATTGCTTTACCATATTTACTTACTGTTACGAAGTATACATGAGAATGTGATGGCATTATTTTCCTGGCATTATTTGACCCATCTGTGATTACAAATGGAGTGGCATCACTTTACAAAGTCTACCTGAGTTTCAGTGGATGTAAGAGAAGACTCATCTTCTTTGGAAGCTGGAGGCAGGGATTCATTAAGTGGAGGAGGTTCAGACTGCTGATTTGAAGCACCCATTTTCCCTTCTTCAGACTTTGCTCTCTGCTCAGATGCATCCTTCAGTACTGGACTTTTCATCTGCTGCTGTCCCTGAGCATGGGCTTTTGCCCTTTGCTGCAGGCTAAGCAGGTGCTGCTGGTACCAGTATTGCTGCTGTTCCTATAACAGATGTAAATTTTCTAAGACAGTTTTCACAAGAAAAACAAAGGAAAATAATTCATGATAGTCAGTAGAATCATACTGTAAAAAAGCTTTTAAAACTGTTTGGAGGAAAAACTCACTTCTTCAGCAACATTATTGCGATGGATGTCAGAAGACCAAATCAAATTCAGATACCACTACGTAAGGTATAGAGCCCACAGCAGAATTTACTTCCCACCTCAATAGTTATTCTATAACTACAGCAAACAATAATAACAAAAAGCTAGAAGATAGGAAATAATAAGCCAAATTACTACAGACATATTATAAATACCATGTTTATTACTTTTAGTGCTTTTTATATCTAAGATACTTAGTATGAGACTAATTTAGATAAAATGAAGGAGAAATGGAGGACAAGTACGAGTACACCACCAGTAAAGAGAAAAAGGAGGAAATACAGAGAAGAGAAGGATGAACAGAGAACATAGACATCAAGTAGACCGAAAATGACAGCTGAGAAATTGTGGTGAAGATGTTTGAATAAAGGCTATGAAAACGAAAAAGTACAATCAGAACCAGTATATAGTGAGGTTTGTGTATCATCTGAATTCTCATTAATCCCGATTCATTCAATAGCTGAAAATATAAATAGATATGGTTGCACCCAAAAATAGGATTTTAATATATTTGAGATATAATAAAGTTTTCAGTTTTAAATATTTCAGGGTAGAATTAGAGTACTCAAGACAGATAACAGTAGCTTCAAAGAAAAGTAAGCTGCCACCAACATAAAGAAAAAAAGACTAAAGATTAGTATCTCAGCACTTAAGTAGTGGTCCATCTTAAAGAGACCAGAGTAGGAACAGTCCTATATATCTTCCAATATGAGAAATATCAGGCATCCAATGACTAGCAGGACACATGTAATAGGCAGCACTTCACCTGCCACCAAAGTCCCTGCCAAAGACCACTGGCAAGGGCTAAAATTTTGTGGATTCATAGTTCCATAAGCTCATAGAAGAAAAATCTACATACTCTAAAAATGAAACCACCATTTGCAGATAAGGCAGCTCCTGCATTTTAGGGAAGCATTGCTATACACTTGATTTTTAAGTTGTTCTCTTAGCCTCTGCTTTTAGTCACTGTCAAAGACAGAATGATAAAATACTGTATTTTTTGGTCTGACCTAGTCCAAGCATTCCTGTGCTCTTATCTCAACTCTACCACCTCTGAGAATCTGTGCTCTACATCTTTTATATCTTCTGTTATTCCCTTCCACCCAAAATTGCACAGTTAAGAAAATACACCTATATAAAGGCCAGTCAGAAATAAAAAAGAATCCAAAAGATGCAGGTATTTTAAAATGTAAGTGTGACAACAACAAAGTGGTAGCTGTTGTCTGATGAGATTTCTCAAAACTGAAACATTCTGCTCATAACAGGTTTAAAAGAAGTACAACCTTTCTCTGAAATCCTAACTTCATACTCAAATCAGGTATGATGTTCTCTATTAGTAGCAAACACAAATATAGAGCTGTATTTTCTTAAAAATACTTCTGTAAAACTGTAACTTGGAAATGAGGTCAATGAAAGGAGAGCCTATGCTCCACAGACTTTAAGTTGATCCTGAAATTACTCCTGCCAAGAATCTTTTTAACAAGAATATCACTCTGAAGAGCTGTCATGGCTTTGGGTAGAAGACGTGCATTCACACTCCAGCATGGACTCTCTCAGAAATCTTCAATAACTTGCTGAAATAAGTGCAACTTACAACATGAGGAAGGAACATACTTTCCCAGCTATATAAAAGCTGATTAAATTATCCATCTCAAAAGGTACTATAAAGTGATTTTCCATCATGGTGATAGATGCTGACTTGGTGAGCACATGTTCTACTGCCACAGAATTGTTGTCTCCACAGATCTATTTTGTTTCCTCTTCATTCTACCAACTCAACAAAGGGCTAGAACTCATAATATGACCTGGTGTTCCCACAAAGAGCTATGACAATATTGTTAGCTATTTTTTGCAGTAGATGAAGTCAGTGACACACGTATTACAGATTCTATCTGAAAAGCACAAGAAAAGCAAAAAGGAAGATTCTTACAGCTTAGTCTGAGCAAAACAAAAGTGCTAATGTAGAAAATTTTGATGATGAAGAGTTCAGTTATTTGAGTGCTTAACTCCTCACAGTGATCGCCATTCTTCAAGTCCAATTACAATCCTTAAGCCCAAGGAAAACATCAGCACCAACATACACCCTTTTTCATCATCCGCTGACCAAGAGACTAGGTCTGTTGCATTTTACAGGAACACTGAAACCAGCAGTATCAGCTCATGACCACAGGACATACCACCAAAAACATCAAAGCCCACACCAAAAGACTACTCCAAAATTAACTTAGCTGACCCTAGGCTACAACGTAACACCTATTTTGGGGGACACTTGGTCCTCTTCTGGTATAGATAGCAAAAGAATGGTTTAGTGCCCTTTATAAAACTAAAGGAGCTGTTTAAAGAGTGCAGCATTCTGCTGAATGGTGATCTGGTAAAGCTACGGTAGCTTTAACAGATGTAGAGAAATGCATATTTATGGGTACAGATGCACCCACACATATTTGGTTACTACTGGAGTGCACTAGGAAGAGCACTGCCAGCAGGTTGAGGAAGGTGATCCTGTCCCTCTACTCAGCACTGGTGAGGCCACATCTGGAGTGCTGTGTCTGGGGTCCCAGTACAAGAGAGCCATGGAGCTCCTGGAGTGGGCCCAGCAGAGGGCAACAAAGATGATTAAGGGACTGGAGCATCTCTCTTACAAGGAAAGGTTGAGGGAGCTGGGCCTGTTCAGCCTTGAGAAGAGACAACTGAAAGGGGACCTCACCCATGTCTACAAGTATCTGAAGGGAGGGTGTCAAGAGGAAGGATGCAGGCTCTTCTCGGTGGTGCCAAGCAACAGAACAAGAGGCAATGGGCAGAAATTGATGCACAGAAGTTTCATCCGACCATGAAGAAGAACTTCTTTACTGCGAAGGTGACCATGAACTGGAACAGATTGGCCAGAGAGGTTGTGGAGTCTCCCTCACTGGAGCTATTCAAGAACCGTCTGGACACAATCCTGTGCCACATGCTCTAGGATGACCCTGCTTGAGCAGGGAGGTTGGACCAGATGACCCATTGTGGTCCCCTTCCTTACCCAGTCTACGATACTGTAAATAAACAGCAGAATACAGTACCCAATTATCAAATGGAACGTTAATGAAATATCACAGGTACCTTAACTAGACTTGACAAAAGATGCATCTGATTGTAGAGAAACACAAGAATTCAGCAATTTAATCCAAGTACACACCCATGCAAAAAACTACGCTAAACTCACTATATTGTTGAGGAAAAGAGCAGTATCTTAGACAGGAAAGGAAAACAAATTGCATAACATTTTTTCAGTTAAGAGAAAAACACTGATCTATTTGTCTGCAGCCACTGTTACTGTGAGATGAGAACAGAAAGAATTGCTTTTAATTGCCAGTTTAAACAAAGGCCTAATAGGGTATTATAAATGACAAATTACACTATTTCTCTACTTGGCTTTTAAGGTCATCAACAAGAAAGCATCACTAGGCTTTGCTTTTTCCTATTCCTATTGTGTAAGGACTTGTTACTCATTTTACAGCTGAAGATAGCCAAAATCGTATCTATCTGTTACAATAAATTTGTGACCAGAAAAGTACCATATTCCTTTTGAATTAACTGAATTGTGCAGGAGAGCAAACAAACTACTCAAGATAGAAGCTGTCTGTATATTCATTTACCAGACAATGTAAACTTCAGCAGTGTTCTACTGCTTCTGTGTACATCACAATAACGCATTACTTGCAACTCTTCTGGAGAGTGTTTACTGTTCTATCATTGAGCTCCATAATGTAAGAAGTCAGCAAGTTGCCTCAATACCAAATTAACACCACTTTCTACATCTGATTTCTCAAGATTCTGGTTTTGTCATTAAAAAATTTAGTAAGTCTCATCATTATCACTGTAAAAGATTAACTAGTACTGTCCAGAACCTTCGTAAAATTAAGTTAAATGAACTCAAAGCACCACATTGCTAGGCAGTAATTTGTTATATGGTGCAAATGTAAAAATGCAATTAAAAAGGTATCCCAGCAACTGACAAATTTAAAGTTTCAGTGACTTCAATATGATGTGATGGGATTTTTGCAAACTTAGCTTCAATTCAGAATCCTAAGATCAATTTCCCCAAAATAGATGTCTTTTAAACTTTAATAAAGTAATTCTAAAGTATGCACTTCAGCTTTGTTCTTGCAGCTGGATGTCTGCAAGACAACTCTAAAACCACACAAAAGCCTCGGTGATCAGCCTGACCCATGTACATAGCCGAGGGCCTCAACACACGTGTCTCCCTGTGCATGCTTAACCTTAACCCACTGGATTGTCCCTGACAATGCAGATGAACAGTCCCATCAAGCTCGCTGGAACTGTTCTCATCAAGGAAGTGAAGCATGCAAACATTTTGCAGGCATGTTGGACCTAGTGTAGGCATAAAAAGCATTAATATTTTCCACCCCAAAAGCATTTCAGAACATTTCCCTCCAATGCCCTGCACAATTTCATACTAGAAGATCAAGTACATGTAGCACAAAACGTGAATCTAAGTAGATGGCAACTATGTACTGCAACAGAAACACTTTTGAAACTATGTGTGGTAGGATTAAAACAGTCACAATTCTACACTGATCACGCAAACAACTGAAATACTACACCTTCGGAAAACGAAGAAATCATTGAAGATAAGTGACACTTATCCTGCAACGTGCAACAAGCAAACAGACTGCTGTTGTCACAACTGGCCGAACGAAGTCATCAGGGGTTACGTGCGGGTCGCTCACATATACTTTGAACACAATTCTCCAAAGACCAACAGACCCCCCTAAATTCAGCCGGGATTTACACTTTCGCTGCAACAACTCAATAGCTCTTGAAAAATGACCATTTGTTACATCCCAGCAACCACCACTGGATAAAGAAGCACTTATGCAGCTTCCCGATCCGTGCCATTCCCAGACTCCCACGGGTTGCGTCCAAACCCTCTAAGTATTATGCAAATGCCGTATGTTTATTAACCGCCCTTACTCGGAGACCTTTGCTACGCCCCGTACCCGTTCATCGCCGCCGCTGCCCTGGCGACTCCCCGCTGCCACCCGGGCCGCCTTACCTGGGGGGTCATGGTGGAGGGGTCTGGCTGCTCCGTGCCACCGCCCTCCTTGGAGGCACCCTGCGCGGCCTCCGGCTGGGCAGCGGCGGGAGGGGGCAAGGACGGCTGGGGCGGTGGGAAATGCGCCTGCGAGGGTTTGGCCGGGGGAGGGATGGAGGGGGCCAGGGCGGGCTGCGCGGACTGGGAAGGAGAGGCCTGGGAGGAGAGCAGGTAGGGCTGGGGATGTGCCATGTATCCCTGGGCAGGAGGCGGCAGGTAGGGCTGTGAGGCGGTGGCCGGCGGGGGCTCCAAGTAGGAGGGCGGGGGTTCGGAGAAGGAGGGGGGCGGCTGGGAGGGCTGCGCCCGGGGCAGGTAGGGCTGGAGCGGCGGGGACTGGGTCGGGGGCGGCTGGGCGGGGGGTAGGTAGGGCTCGGCCTGGGGGGGCGGCAGGTAGGGCTGGGCGGGGGGCAGGTAAGGCTGGGCGGCGGGCTGCGGGGACTGCGGCGGCGAGGACAGCTCCATGTCCATGGGCACCGGCTCGGCGGGCACCGGCTCGCCCCAGTCGCCGTGCCCGCCCAGTGGCTCCTGCCCATCCCGGTCCCGGGCGGCGGCGGGCGGCTTGCGGGGCGGCGGCTCGCGGTGGGCGAACTGCTTCTGATAGCTGCGGACGGGCGGCGGCACCGGCGGCACCGGCGGCTGCTGCTGCCAGTCGGTGAAGGAGCCGGGCAGCGGCGGCGGCGGCAGCCCCGGAGGGGGCGGCCCGGGCGGCGGCGGCGGGCCCAGCAGCACGGACTGCAGCTGCTTCTGGTGCATCTGCTGGAGCTGCTGCAGCTGGGCCAGGTGCTGCTCCTGCAGGCTCAAAAACCCCGAGGAACCGGCGGGCGGCGGCGCGGCGGCGGGGGGCGCGGGGCCCGGCGGCGGGTAGCTGGGCAGCGGCATCGGCGGCACGGCGGGAGGCGGCACGCTGGGGGGCGGGATGGGCAGCGGCGGGGGCGGGATGGAAGTGGGGGGCGGCGGGTAGTGCCCGGCCGCCCCGTACAAGCCCCAGGCCGGGTACATGGCGGAGCGCGGAGCAGGCACAGGCCGCGGCGGCGGGCGGCGCACAGCGCCTGCAGCGCCTGCGCGGGGAGGCCCCGCCCCGCAGGGCAGTGGAGCGCGAACGCGGGGCCAGAGCGCCCAGCGGCGCTGCTCGGTGGGGGGGCGGTGCCGGCACAGCGCCCCCTCGCGGGCGTTGCCGCCAGCGCGGGGCCGGGGCCGGGGGCGAGCCCGGGGTGCCCGGGACGGGACGAGGGGACAGCACGGGGGAGCCGCTGGGGCCTCTGTTGTGTGCAGCGGTGCCGGCAGGTGCCGCAGAGGCAAGGCTGTGTATGGCTGTCCCGGCGCTCCCGCGGGCCCTGATGGCCCTGGGGTTCACGTGGCCTCGGTTCCTTGGGGCGGCCGTGTTCCCGTGCCCGCCCGCTGTCCACGGCCCGTGTCGCCCTGCCGCTGCAGTCCCGCCCCACCCGGTTCCGGTGACCGGAGGCTCCATGGCAGAGCTGATGGACTGTTGTAGCGATTGAAGGGTGGCACGAGCGCGGCCACACGTCCCCCCGAGCCGGGCCCCGGGAACGGCGCACGAAGGCAAAGTGGTGCTGCAGCCTCGGGAAGGGCAGCGCGTAGCCCGTCGAGGGGACGGGGGCCCTGCGAGGTGATCCAGCCCCGATGATCCATCCCCAGAATGCCATGAACGATCCTGTTTCCAGCGAATACGATAAACCTGAGATACAAACACGAGAACGGAGCAGTGGATGTGTGAAATTGCCTCATCCATTACAGAAGCGACTGCACTGAGATGCAGGAATTTTTTTTTTGTTTCTCCCTTCCCACACTGAAGTATGAGTTAAACATACAAATATGTTCTGTGGCCTGTTAGTAATGATTTATGCCAAGTGCTGAACTGCATCCTAAAGACATGAGGGCTTGTGTGTCTGAATTCTAGTAGCTGGGCAGTGAAGCCTCGTGGCTATGGGTCACCAGGGCACCAGCACTGTTCTCCTTCCCAAGCACAGAAAACATGAGCAATTTTTGTCATGTTCAATCTCTAGTTCATGGCTGGCAAATCAAGGATTCCTAGCCAGTGCAAAAAGGCATGTATTGGAGGAAAAGTCCTAAGACTTCTCAGTCAAGAGAAAAATCAGGAAAACCAGGTTGTTAGGTAGAGGAAAAGCTTTGTTCTCTCTGGTAGAAAAGCTAGACTTTGTGTTCATTTGTTGTTAAATTCCAGGGAATCCACAGACGTGATACATTAATACCATTAATCTACAAGAAAAGCTTTGACTGTGAACTCAAGCTATGAGATGCAAATCTTTAAGAAAACTGTTTTCATTTAACACACATAGAACTGTCTTTTCTATTCTTTGGTATCCTTGCTTTTCATCTGGAGGTGATTATTGATCCTTTTCTGTTTAGGATGATTTGTCTAGATTTCTCCTGCAGTGAATAGGACTTCAGATAGCATTTGTACTTTTAGCTTCTATCTCCTCTTCACTGTACAGGTACTTAGCATTTATATCCATTAGCTCTATGGGCCAGTTTACTCACTAAGCTTTAGAAAGTCTGTCCTCCCCAAATAGGGAATTCCTATTGCAAACATCCTGTAATTTAGCCTCCTGATCTATTCACTCAAAGTGAAGTCTCTTGTGATCAGTTTACTCATGGTTATTTCCTGCAGGCAGGTCTCTCCCAGTATTCTTGCTCTTTGTTGTGGTTACTCAATATTGTCAAGAGACTTGTTACTTCCCTTATGAAGGAATACACGTACTTAACCACTTTCAGGGGCAACTGTTTTCCAGCCTACATCGAGGAGGTCAAACTGTAACTTTCAAATAACTTGACAGATGCCTTTTCAGTATTCAATTCTGGTTTGGACAGCAGTAGAGTTGACTTCCACCAAACGAGACACTGGCTTTACCCAATGTTACCTTGCCCTAAAGCAACCCTGCTAAGTTCACATTATGCCTTCTTATTTTTTTATTCAGAATATTTTATTTTTATTCTTTTATTCTATTCAGTCTGTTACATTAGTGGCTGTCATCGTGTTGGTTTTAGTTCTTTTTCTTTAAGCTCATGTTCTTCCTGCTTCTAAATGCTATTATGCTACCTCTCAGTTATCCCTCAATCACCCTGTGTCACATCTTGGATAAACAGCTTAAATTTCTTCACTTCATCTGGTGGTAAGGCTGCAGTAATCTTAGGCCTTCTGGTAGCTTCAGAAAGGAGTGGAAATTATTTTCTCCCATTCTTTGCATGAATCCAGACCTTCTTTACATGGCTGCCCTGGTTGTTCTCTGTCTTCTGAAGCTGTGGGAACTGGCTACAGCAAGAGACAGGATGTTAGTGGGGAGGCTGAATTCTCTAGTTACTGAGAAACACTGCAAGCATCTGTTTGATATTTAACTCCTGTGCAGGTTTAAACCAACTGCCAGAGTTGGGTCAGGAAGGAACTTCTCTGGTTTGGACTGGCAGTTCTGCCTTTGTGGGAATATCAAAGTATTCTAGATTATCGAACTCTTTCCTGTGACAAGGATCTTTCCTCCTTTGATATGCTGTTGGGATGCCATTATATGCATGGAATAAATATTTTCCTCTGAACTAAGTGTTTGGTACACGGGTTCCCTGGCACTGCAGGACAAGCAGTTGATCATTCAGGTGGTCCTTTCCTATCCTGTTTATGTTCTGACAAGGTTCTTTGAGTTAATGCTTAAGTTTTTCATCTTGCCAATTATATTCAGTTAAAGAAAATTTCCTGATGGGTTTGTTCACTGCCAATACTTTCTCCTTGCTGCTCAACCTCCAAACCTTCTAACACATCTTTAGCAATTGCCTTATGTGTATTCCAGGTTCCTCCTCCTTTTACTAAAAAAAGACAGAGTAAAAGGAATAAAAGACTTCAGTTAATGGACATATTTGCTTTGATTCCTACCCACAGCTACATACATATCTTTTCATGAAATCCCTCCAATAGGCATTATACTGGTAGGTACATGTTCCCCAAATTCATCAGGTTGTTGTACCTTTGACCTCTTATCTGGTGCCAGAAAGATTTTTATCAAATATTATCATATATGTCCATTTCTTTCTTCTCCAGTCTCCTTCCATTTAGGTTAATTCAAGTGAAGTTATTTGCACTGGAACAATTTTAGTTAATTCTTTACTTGTAGAATTCTTTCAAAACTAGAATTATTCTGAAAACCAAGTTACAGGGATCTAATCCTACAACTGTTTCTCAGTCCTCATTTGACTAAACATGGGCTTCAAGTGTTCATGACAATACTTATCATTTAGCTTAAAGAAATGTAACTTGGACTGAGAGAAGAAAACGAATGATATTATTTTTGAAATGCATGTATTGTACACTGAGTGTGAAATTTCAGGGTTGTTGGCTACTCTCTTCCTGGGTGGAGGTTGAAAAAATAAACTTCAACTGCGATAGCCTGGAAGGGTCTAAGTTTTGAAAGCATCAGTATGCTGTTATTTCAGGAGTGTTTAGTGGGTGAGCCTGCAGCAAGCAAAGAGATAGCAGGAGAGGTAGGTCTGATGTGTTCCCAAACTCTTCTGCAGTATCTGTAGAGACAGGGTGCTAGCAAGAAAGTTATTAGGATGTCAGGGCATTTCCCAAGGACAGAAAATTATCTTCACTGTATGATGTCCAGCATACAGACAGCTGAGTTCAGCTATTATACAACCATTAAGATTGGAAAAGACCTCTAAGATCTAATCCAACCATTAACTCAGCACTGCCAAATCCACCACTAAACCATGTCTCTAAGTACTACATCCGCATGTATTTTTAACACTTCCAGAGACAGTGATTCCACCACTTCCCTCGGCAGCGTGTTCCAATGCTTGATCACCCTTTCAGTGAAGAAATTTTTCCAAATATCCAATCTAAACCTCCCCTGACACAACTTGAGGCCATTTCCTCTCATCCTATCACCTGTTACCTGGGAAAGGAGACTGACCCCCACCTGGATACCACCTCCTTTCAGGTAGTTATAGAGAGTGATAACATCTCCCCTGAGCCTCCTTTTCCTCAGACTAAACAACCACAGCTCCCTCATCTGCTCCTCATAAGTCTTGTGCTCTAGACCCTTCACCAGCTCTGTTGGCCTTCTCTGGACACACTCCAGCACCTCAATGTCTCTCTTGTAGTGAGGGGCCTAAAACTGAACACAGGACTCGAGGTGCAGCCTCGCCAATGCCAAGTCCAGGGCAGGATCTCTTCCCTAATCCTGCTGGCCCCACTGTTTCTGATACAGGTAAGGATGCTATTGGCCTTCTTGGCCACCTCTGCAGCCAAATCAATGTAAGGCACTACAGGATAAAAGCTCCAATAAAGTTTGGAAATTTTCTTATTTTTACCAAGAATATAAATTTTCAGTCTTGTCCTGTATTTTGGCCAGGAAGCATACTTTAGCATGTTGGCCCCTGCTGGCCCTGTCCTCACCACAGAGCAAAGATCGTAAGAGCAAATTATATTGCTAAGAACTAAGGAGTAATGGAGAAGATATGAGAATGCAGAGTTATGGCTTTGAAATACTTTTCCCCCTGCATTTCTCCATGTGGCTTAACCATTGCTTTCCATCCCTCCTCTGACCACTTCCTTCCCTGCAGTAAATGCTGCTGGGAGACTATCTGCAACCATTGCTCTTATTCTCCGACACTGACTCTGCTCCCAGCTCACATTAATACCTTTCCCCATTTGACACCTTCCTCCTCTTCCCTGATACCTAATGGAAGTGATAAGGGTTTGAGGTGCATAGGTCCCAAGCAAACAAGAGAGAGAGATCTGTCCCAACCCAACCCTACCCTGTCTCCACCACTCTAAATGTAAGCAAAAGGACCGGACTGCCAGCTAACCCACTACAGACAGGACAATCTGAGCAGGACACTTAACCAAACATCATTCACTGTACAGCTGAATAAAAGCCCATCAATTCCCAGATCATCAATTCCCAAAATCTTCTAGACTGCTGTTCCAGAGAAGGCCCACCAACTGGTGCAGATCTGACGTCTTTTCTCCAGAACGCAAGTTCTGATTTGTTTGAGGAAACAGGTGTGAGGGAGCTCTCCAGAGAAATACCTGTTCCACTGCAGGTACAGCAGTAAGACACTTCTAAAATTTCTGTGGTTTCATTCTCAGCCAGAGTTGCATCACCAGTATTTAATTCAGAATGCTGAAATCACTTTTTCCAATGATCCCAATGAAGACAGAGGTAGGCATGTTCTGGGCACTGCCACCCTCTGTTTCCCATACGCTTCTCTCAGCTATAGGTAATCAGACCAAGTCAGAACAAGGATGAATAAAACCAGACTCTTCAAAATACCTTCTTCTTAGAAAATCAAGGCTAAGAAGTCAGTTCAGTGTCACCCATGGTCCTATGAGTAAAAGAGAAAGCAGGAGGTTTGGAATCAGAAGGACCCTTATCCTGGCTCAGAGTCCTGGCATCGATGGCTTGGCTGGACAGGTTAGAATCGAGGAGCTCCATAATCATCTGGCATCCTTTCAATGTTGTACCTGAGAAAGAAGAAAAACTTATGAAGACAACCTACTCCACACTGCTCTCCTCCCCACTGTGGTGGACCATCTACCTCCTCCTCCTCGTCGGGGCTGCTGTATGATCTCAGGGATTCCTGACAGGCCTTGGTCTTTGTGTAATGAGTTGGGCAGTGAAGCATCCTTTGAACATACCAGGAAGTCTTGCACGGCTAAGATGGAATAGCACTGACTGTACCAGGAACTCCTGTTGCCTGGCTATGGTGAAGGATGTGAGCGCAACTAAGCAGTCATCTCCTGCCCTATCTGAATCGTGGCCTGAGTGGAATGGTACCATTGTTACTGGAGTTTTGGAAACTAGAGTAATTACCAATCTGGATTGTGGCCGAGATGTACAATTTATGGACAACTAAAACCAATCACCTTGCGACTCTATAAAGAGTGGTCTTAAGTGAGGCCCTTTGAGCTCTCCTGGGCTGCAGAGTGCTATACAAGCACCTCCCTCTGAGCGGGACACCTCTCAGAGGTCATGAACTCGCAAGTATGCGATACTTGAAGGACCGCAGCTCAGCCTTTGCCTGTTGAAAAATGCAGAGGCATTCAATGTATTTCACTGAACCTGAAGAGAACTTTTACCAGGTACCTTTATACATTTAGATACATCCACCTCTGTGTTCATGTGCACACGTGTGAATTGGCTGAAATACTCTTTACCAAGTGTAGTATGAATGTTGTTTCCTGAATCTATAATTAAGTCATTGTTATAATTGTAGTAAATCCTATTGAATCACTTTATAAATGTTAAGTTAGTCAATGATTAAGTGCTGCTAAAATCTAATTTAGACAGAAACTGTTGACCAAATCTGGGACTAAGATTGGATCTAGCTACACCTGGATTCCATCAGGAGTTTGAAAAGTAAGGGAGTCCATTCCGAACCTTGCGACCCAATGGAAGGATTTTATATCGAATTTTTAGACATAAACCATTGACCAAGCCTGGGACTAGGATTGGATTCAGCCCCACCTAGACTCTGTCAGGAGTTTAGAAAGCAAGGAGATCCTTTCTGAACCTTGTGACTCAACTGGAGGGTCTTCCTTACACTTTGCACTCCCAGTCTCCATGCAAGTCATCCTAAAGCGATTCTAAGCTGATTTTCCTTTGCATTTTTCATCCATGTAGTAAGAAAGTGAACCTTGACATCAAACTCTGTTAAGTTGCACTTCTGCAAATTTATATTGAAACTTGCTTTTGCTAATATCTTTAATGGTGATTGTTGCAGTGGCCTAAACCACCCATTCACGACACCATCCGGCAACAGGCTTACAGGCAGACTGAACAGCAAGCTTTGTTGCATTTTTATCTGCAGCTCAGATTCCCAGGAAGAAAAATATTACTTCTGAAAGTAAAAAGTCTTCATAACATTGCTGTTATTCTTCACCTTAAACTCAGAAATCAGGCATCTCAGAAACTCACCATCTCCAGAGAAGGAAAAAAAAGGTGGTTCTGTAAGACTTAGAATTTAAGAGCAGACCACCACAGAGAATAAAACTTTTGACATTCAACTTATAATTCACAGAATCATTTAGGTTAGAAAATACCTCCAAGATCACCAAGTCTAACCTCTGACCAAAGACCACCTTGTCAACTAGACCATGGCACTAAGTGCCATGTCCAGGCATTTCTTGAACACCTCCAGGGATGGTGACTCCACTACACCCTGGGCATCCCGTTCCAAAAGTTCATGGCCATACTGAATAGGAGGTAAAGATGTTTTGAGAGAAAAATCTTTTGAGCCACATTCTAATTATAGATCACTTAAGACTTTACATATTTCTAGCAATCAACCTCCTCATTTCCAACATGCTGCACTAGTATCCTTCTGAGTTGTTTAGTTTTTAGCTAAGAAGCAAATTCAATCTCTTAGTGAGGGTACACAAAGCTACCAAATGGAATATGGAACAAGAATATTCTTTTCCTCGAGGACCTGCAGAATGCATTGCCTGGTAGTCCTGCTGCTGCTGGTAAGCAAAACTGTTCTATGGAAACACTGGCCTCAAGGAGAGTAGCTCTCCTGGTAAAGACAAGTGAACAAGTAGACTGCAATAAAAGTGGGTCTGTGGCCAGTCTCTTCCCAGCAGTAGCTGTACTTCAACTTCTGTGCAAACACCAGGCCCTTTACTGCAGCCTGCACTACGGACAATGCAGGAGAGAGGTGACAGAGTCCCTGTCAGACAAGGATTATACTGGGCAGGGTTTTTCTCTGTCAGGGGGCCCTTACCTGTGCCTGGAAATATACATTATAGGCACTCCAGGGATTTTTCGTATTCTCCGCTTGAGCTCTTTATCTACGGTGGCCACAATGTAACATTTGTGCTGCAAAAAAAGAAGGCAGGTCAGATTTAACACCAGCGAACCCACAGAAAGAAGACATAACTGATCAAACACTTCTATTCAGTGAGCTCGTTAAACACAAGGCGGCTAAGAATCCTTAGCAAGGCATTACTAGGACTTGTACAGAATTCCACAGCAGACTAGTAACATCCTTCTGCTCGTCAAAATAGACTCACAGAAATTTCTGAAGGTCTGTCCAGCCTTCCAAGCTGACAGCTTTCCCATCCTCAGTGGTTCTTGATGCTGTTCTGTGCAACAAGAATGCCCAGGGAAGACAATACCTTGCATCAAATACAGTTGTTCTAGGGACTGAAACTGCCCCTTAGTGAAATTTTGTAGTTACTTTGTGGGAAATTTAAGTCATTAGTAGTTAGGAGGGTTCAGGAATTTTTAGTATGTTAGCACAGTACAGAAAATGTCAGAGAGGGAAATACCTGAGTGACCCTCTGTACCAAGCAGTCATCTGCGTAGGTTCCTTTGTGCATACATGGCAAGCGTTCAAACCGAGGGTCCTTGGCAATTCTGTGGGGAAATATAAGGCAGCATCACAGCAATCAGACCACAGAGTACAGTAACACAGTACAGAGGAATAAGAACACCCCTTTCTGTGATATACAGAACATTGTTCTCAAAACAAGGGCTGAAGGGATGGAGTAAATGGTACATAAAAGTCAAATGAAATGAGGAGCAAAAAAGAATGCAGTCTGTCTAATTATTATAGATTAAGTATTTCTTAGTACTGGTTAGTTGGATTCAAAATCTGTAAAATGTCAGGCCATTGCCAAACAAAGTAATTTGAAATAAGTTATCTGTGGGAAGAACTAGAACTCCTTCCGGTGTGTGATCGTTCACACCATGCATATAGGGACATTGCACCTTCTCTCTGAAGGGCAACATCGAAGCTGCTTAGGGGACGTACTCGGATAGTTTACAACATAGCAGGCCAAAATAAAAAGTAAAGAACAATACATCTGAGTGGAGGATGTGAACTACATTGGACTAGTGTTGTACAGATCACACAATAACCTAGCTCTAGATTATCAATACATGGTACCTACTCATACAGGAGTAACATGAAGTATGAGTAAAAAGTTCCATAAGACTCAGGTCACTTCTTTATTCATTTTTAGAAATTCTAAAATTAAAAAAAAATATATTTTTTGAGAAACAAGAAAAAGGCTTACTTTGAAAGTCTTAGGAGAACGAAAGATTACAGATTGATACTGTGCACTCATACATAGCATTTTGTTTTAAAAACCAAAAAAATCTAAAACTCGAGACACTGTACTCATCTTGTACAACCAGAGAACTAAAACCAAGTTCAGGACTCTGCAACAACCTAACCACCCTCTAGTGCAGGAGCACGTCATGGCAAAAGAGAAGAGAACACCCTGCACCTACCTTAACGCCACACGGTACTTCTGTCCTAACTTTTCAATTTCACCCATTACACAGTCTGTGATACATGGAATACCTACATGCAAATAAAGCCTGTATTAATACAAAGGAATATTTATTCACAGACTTCTATATTGCCCACATGTCCAAGAACGATCATGGAACTCTAAAACCTATTACAGCAAGAACTGATAAGGTTGCAAAGTGATGAAATGTAGAGCCACTGAGTTTGACCATGCCATGGTAATTTTAGATATTTAAGTATTAATGCTCTACCTTTGTTGAGACTAGCATTTATGACCACTGTTTGACTGAAACCAGAGGCAGTTCCAGGGTTACCATAGCCATGAACAATCAGCTCCAAGATTATGGCATATATCCTTTTTTCAAGATTTCTGTTATTTTCAGCCAGTGGCATGAGGCTGACAAAGCACATTCCAAGCACAGTGTGGCACTGCTTAGTCAGAAGAAGCTGCGAGTGGTGTGGGCACTCACACTTGGCATAGAGACAGTCCATCATTGACTGCACTAGGTCCAGCTTGGCCTTGATGGAGAAGTTGATGAAGTTAGTGTCAACCAGGATGTGGTAAGGGGGGCCCAGCTGTGTATTATACTGGAAGAACAAGCAAGAGGGATGCTGGGGCCTGCCAGGAAGACAAAGAATTCAAATCAGTTAAATGCATTTAACAACATGTCCAATCCTACAACTTGCAGAGAACGAAAGAGGAGTAATGAGCAGAAAGACTCCTGCTGCCTCTTAAGCACAGTCCCTTGGTTTGGCCACACCATGTCCTTTTCTGACAGTTTTGCTCAGAAACATCCTCGGTTACAGCCTGCAGCGTGGCCGGACCTCGCTCCCTTCTTCCCTCCCTCCATCCTCTCTCCCCAAAGTGTCGGCAGTACTTACACCTCCCGCTCTTTGATGGCGCTCGGGTCCTCTTTCTTCTTCACGGGGGCTTTCGCCCGGTCCTTCTCTTTACTGCAAAGAAACACAGGCACTTCCCTAGGACGAGCGACAGGGAAGGGCGGCCAGCGGCGGAGAGGCTCGGGTCGGGATCCCCTCCCGCCTCTCCCGAGCGGGACAGGAGGACGCTGCAGGGCCCCGCCTGGGAGCGCAGCCACACTCACATGCGCTCATCCCGGAGGCTGATCATGCGCTTCATCACCGCGTACTTCCGCGCCTTCTTCTGCTTCCCCTGCAGGGAGACGGACAGTCAGCCGCAATGAGCCGAGGAGAGACCCGACCCCAGCCCGTCCCCCCCCCCGGCCCGCTCCCGGCTCACCATGCCGATCACGCTGATCCCACCGGTCCTGCCTCTGCCGTCGGTGCCCCCGGTGCGTCACTGGGCCCCGCCCCGGGAGCGCGTCACCTCCGGCTGCCAGCGCCGGGCAGCGGCCGCGCGGGGCAGCGGGACCGGCGTCGCGGCCGCCGTCGGAGCCCACGGTAACGGCGGGAGCGGCGCGTCCCTTCAGCCGCCACGGTCCCGGGCGCGGGGAGCGGGGCTCCCGGGGCGAGGGAGCTGCAGCCCAGCCCGGCCGCCCCGCCGCGACGGGCGTCCCCCAGGGGGTGGCGGCCCCGCTGCCGGCCCGGAGCGCCCGCGGGAGGCCTGGTACAGCCGCGGCGGGGGTCGCTCGGGGCTCCCGGCGGGCGGGAAGGGCCGGCTCTGCCTGCCCCGCCGCGGCCTCAGCTTTTCGTTTCGGTGTAGCCTCGCCGCTTGTGCGGCGCTGCGGGTGTATCGGTGGCACGTCGGGTAGGGTGGGGGGACTGGCGCCTGTGGGAAGGCCGTGGGGTTTGGTGACCCCGCCGAGCCCACCTTACACACCGATCTCTCTCCTTTCCCCATTCTCACTGTTTAGCACAGCCGGGAGGTTACGGAGGTCTTCAGCCCGCTCACTTGAGCTTGCTGGACTGGTTTTTTTTTTAAGAATTAATGTAGTGCTGGTTTTGCCACACTCTAGCTCGTAGACTTCTTAATGAAAAGCAGTGGGTTGTCATTATCTTTAGATCTTAGGTACATTTGTGACTAGAAATCTTAGCAAATGAGCGTAATTTCAGCTGTACTTTATGCAGCCATAATGGTGTAGTCTGACCCAAAATGTTTTTTCTGCATGTGAAAGGAAATGTTCTCCAAGTTCTCGGACTGGTCTGGGGCACCTGGTTTCTCATGCCCTTTACAGGGAAGGGAGAGAGAAAGGCCTTTCTCATTAAAGCTTCTGGGATTAGTGAAAACTTGTAGCTTTTAGTATCTTCCAAATACAACCGGTTTTGTCTGGTGTGCTGGTCAGAAAATGCAGCCAATGAGGTACCACACGGGAATTTTTCCTGAAGCAGTGACCTGTGTAGAACTGTGACTGAGGCTCTGACAGTGAGGAAGAAAATGAGGCTGAAAGAAGAAGAGTGTTAGGGAAACCATAGCTGAGCTTTCTGCCTGGGTGATCATACCCTGCTTAATTGTTGGTTGAGGAAACACAGTTGGTGGAGCTCCCATGATACTGCTTAAGTGACCCTAAATGGTTTGGGAAAGGAAATAATTAAGGAGGTGGGGGGTGATCTGCTTTTCCCACTGATATGTAGGGTGGCAGGTGGCTGAATATTTTTCTGGCTTGGAAAGTAGATCTGGTACAAGATGAGACTGGACTGAAAGTTGCCATCTGTCTGGCTTGCTGTATTTGAGGAGGACAGAAGGAGCTGACACTACTGGTGGATGAAAAGTCTTTAGACTTAAGCAGTTGGCAGAAGTCTCCTTTTTTTTTCCCCTGTTGCCACTGGTTTTTTAGCTTGTATGTAAATGAATATGACAAATTCCAGCCCCGATGAGAGAATGACTGTTTTGTGTAGACACTGGCCATTGATGTGGCTTTTGTTCTTGATAGCTGATACTGGATCCTGCCTAGTATCTTTTGTGCTGACTTTTCAGTTTCCTGTGAATATATCTTAAACTTAAGGTCTCATGGGCGTTCTTGTTTGTTGGCTTGTGTGTGATTTACTTAGTGGGAGAAAATACTGTGCCTTTCACTAGAGAATAGTCATCTTGTGCATGGCATGAGATGGACGTGCCATTGGTAGTGGACATTTGTGCACATGGATTGAGAGGACATTCTGCACAGAGATAGATGGTTCTCTTATCTTAGTTAGATGAAGTAGTATCAACCTGCAAAAAGGCTTTAAAACAAAATTAAAAGCGTGTTGTTAAAAAACAGAGGAAAGGCAGTTAAATGTATCAGTGCACCAAATAAAACCAAGAGGCATTATAGATTTCTTAGAATCTCAGTACATCAGTTCTTTAAAGCATGCACCCAGCTGGCTTTGTAGCTGTAGCCACAAGAATGTGCCATTACTGTGTTACTGTTCCTTTTATATGTATGGCTACACTTGTGCTTCCTTCTGGAGCTTTGCACTGTGTGCCTCTGACTTCACAGCAGCCATAACACAACAAAATGTATTCCTATTACTGGACTTCCTTTTCTTACTGACTTGAGAGAAGCAGTGGTATGAATACTGTTTATTTTATGATTCCATGCTGTCTACCTTGAATATGCCAGTATTTCTCCTTGAGTCAAACCAAGGTGAACCTTTCCAAATCCCCATTTTTCCTGCAGGTAGTGGGAGACCATTGCTTCCTCTGTACTTGGATTAAGATTATTAAGACCTGATGGACAATTCAGCATTTTTTTCTACCCAGCTATGATGGCATGTTCTATTGCTGATTTTCAGAATTTGTCTCCCGGATTGTTACCCAACAGTTCTTAGCACAGATACTGTCGCAGTTTACATCTGCATTCTGTTAAGTGAGTGACAATATGTCTTGGATACCAGCTACTTGCAACTAGGTTCTTTACCTCCATGTATTCCAGCTGCAAGACCATCCTTAAAGCTGCAGGCAGTGTGTAAACTAGAAGAAAGTTGATTGTCTGACAGCCACTTCATCTCTGGAGGTCACCGGACTTGGTGTCTTGTTTACCACTTCATGTGGGGGTAATAAAATGAGAAGCTGCTGTGCTGATTAATGGAGATAACTAATTCCCTGTGTCCACCAAGTTCAGAAATTCTGCAACCCAGATCACAAGACTCAGGCTCCAATTGACTTAAAAACCCTCATAGCTGAAATGATGGATCTTTCTCTTTTTTACTTGAGGGAGCGCCTGTGTGACTTGTGGTTTGCTTTACAGAAGGAAAGGAGTTGCAGAGTCAGGCAGAAATAGCTTGGGTAGATGAACCTACAGGGCCAGCTTTGTGTTGATGTTTTTTTGGTGACATGAAAAATCTGGTTCTGTAAAATGCTGGAGGGAGATCTTGTAGATTCCTAAATATTGATAAGTTTCTGTGAAATTCCTCAGCTGTGTGGGGAGTAGCCATACACCTTTGACAGCCAGGCCAAGCTGAAGCAGGGTTTCAACCAGGCATTTGTAGGACATCTTGGATATGTACTGTAAAATAACTAAAATATCAAGGAATTTGCTAGGTCTATGATTCTTAATACACAGAGATTATTTATGGGTTTAGAAACCCGAAGCTTCATCTAGGAGGAGAATGAAAACTTATGGCCTGGGGACTGCAACACTGTTCACTAAGTAGAGGAAAGAGGAAAATAGCTGAGTGGGTGGGATTTTCCGTGAGATGTGGGTGAGGAAAAGACAGTGAAAGTCTGGCTGCTTCTGCAGTGCAGTCAGAGAGCTCTGCACAGACTTACTGGTTGGTTTTCATACGCATTAGAAAGCTTAGTGGAAGTGTGCGAAGGCAGCCAGATCTGTATGATTATTGGATGGAGGGAAATAAGACACTTGTGAAGAGGAGGGCAGATGAGGGGGGACTAAGAAGGAAGTGACAGCTGAGGTGGTGGTATGGCAGGCGGGAGGAGCACATCACTTACATCCCCAGAAGAGGGGACTGTCTTAACAGACAGCTGCTGTGCTGAGCCTGGGTCTTTTCATTCTCACTCCTTTATGTAATCTGTGTTCTGAATGAGTAGATACTGACTGTGTAGGGTCTGTGGTGTTTCTTCTGGCATATGTCCTGGTTTTTGTGGGCTGCGTCAATCCTTGCTGTTAAATTTTAATTTCTTTTTATCTCAATCCTGACAGTAAACTGTAATTTAGTGAATAGTGCTGCTGAAACTGAAATCCCTTATGAGGATAGTGGTTTCCTGAATACCTCAAACAACAACAGCAGGAAAAAAAAAATCCAGTTTGCTTTGTGGTCCAAGAACTTTCAAAGACTAATTTTTTCTAGCCTTGACCATAAATAGCCCTTTAAATCTGAGCAAAATCAGTCTGAGAATAGTGTATGGCATTTTGTTGGGTGTAAAGGCTTGAAGTGCTACCTGATCATACACTGGTTTGGCTTGGAAGGGACCTTAAAGAACATCTAATTCCAACTCCCCTGGGCAGGGACATCTTTCTCTAGATCAGGTTGCTCAAAGCCCCATCCAACCTCGCCATGAACACTTCCAAGGATGGGGCAGCAACAACTTCTCTGGGCAACCTGATCCAGTGCCTCACCACTCATAGTGAAGAATTTCCTCCTTATTTCTTCCTAATCTAAACCTACCCTCTTTCAGTCTGAAGCCATTCCGCCTTGTCCTATCACTACATGCCCCTGTAAAAGTTCCTTTTCATCTTTCTGGTAGGCCACCTTTAGGTACTGGAAGGTGCTATAAGCTCTCTTCAGCCTTCTCTTCTGCAGGCTAAACAACCCCAGCTCTCTCAGCCTGTCTTCATAGGAGAGGTGGTCCAGCCCTCTGATCATCTTCATTGCCTTCCTCTGGACCTGCTACAACAGGTCCATGTCTTCCCTGTACTGAGGGCACCAGAACTGGACGTTGTACTCCAGGTGAGATCACATGGGAGCAGAGTAGAGGGGAGAGTCACCTCCCTTGACCTGCTGGTCACATTTCTTTTGATGCAGCCCAGGATATGGTTGGCTTTCCAGGCTGCAAGCATACATTGTCAGGTCATGGAATCATAGAATATCCTGACTTGAAAGGGACCCACAAGGATCACTGAAGTCCAACTCCTGGCCCTGCACAAGACAGCCCCAAGAGTCACACCATGTGCCTGAGAGTGTTGTCCGAACATTTCTTGAAGTCTGTCAGGCTTGGTATGGTGACCACTTCCCTGGGGAGCCTGTTCCAGTGCTCAAACACCCTCTGGGCTAAGAACCTTTTCCTAATATCCAACCTAAACCTTCTCTGACACAGCTTCATTCCATTCCTTTAGGTCCTTCCTCTGGTCACCAGAGAGAAGAGATCAGTGCCTGCACCTCCACTTCCCCTTGTGAGGAAATTGTAGGCTGTGATGAGGTCTCCCCTCAGTCTCCTCTTCTCCAGGCTGAACAGACCAAATGACCTCAGCCACTTCTCATACAACTTCCCCTCCAGACCCTTCACCTGGGTGGCATCTTCATGCCTTCATTTGTATGCTCTCTAATAACTTTATATCCTTCTTATATTGTGGCACCCAAAATTGCACACAGTACTCAAG